AAAATTGTAGACCCCTAGACTGCATCAGAAATCCAACAAAAGTAGCCTGCTGAGTAGTTTTGGAAGTCCAGTTTTGTTTCATTCAGCTTGGTAAGGCCTTGCTATATTGACCACATGAAGATGAGCCTTACGTCAATCCAAAGTTCATAAGCGTGTTTTAGGCAACTGCTTTAGATGGAAATCCTAATGAGACGATAACTGCTGGGTCTTAGCCTTCAACACAACTGGTAAAAGTAAATAATCATACTTCCCTTACCTATCCATACCTATTTAACACCATTCCTATAGCTGGGAAGTACCAGGCATTGTAATAATTCAATTCCACATTCCTGTAGGAAAAGCGCAAAAGGTCCTGGACGTTGTTCGCCTGAACCGTCATATTTACCATAATATTCACCACCACGGTCAGATCGAAAAGATTTAATCTTCTTTCCTAGTTGATTTTCAACTTCAGCTTTATAAGATTTGAACACTTCCAAAGACTCAGATTTTTCATGAATGAGATATAAGTAACTATAACGAGAATAGTCATCAATGAATGATATAAAATATCTTTGGCCATTTCTAGCTGCAATATGGAATGGACCGCAAATATCTGTATGAATCAATTCTAAAACATTGGATGACACAAATATCTGTATGAATCAGTCTGTATGACCGAATGGCACCTAGTCTTTTTTATTTAGTCTGTTTTCCTTTAATACACTCAATACAAGAATCCAAAACTGTGTAATCAAGTGTATCTAAGATACCATCAGAAACAAGACGCTCAATTCTTGATTTGGATACATGACCCAAACGTCTATGCCAAAGTACAGCTGTACAGCTGAGCTTAGTCCAAATATTGCAACTCTTGTCTTTTGGGTACCGGCTTTTCTTTGTAGTTAACATACAGGGATTGCATGATTAACTAGTATCATGTCTAAACAATAATAGATTAATCACATTCAATCAAAAGCAACCAGTAAAACCCAAAACTTTTGGAATTCAATAGATAAAAGTTAGGAAATACACTGTTCTCCAAAGATACAATGAAACACCAGATTTGTCCCAAACAAGAGTTTTCTCTCACTCAAGTAAGTCCACTTATAATCCCATTCTACCCCAACCGGGTTTGGTTCAACTCGACTCGACTCGACTCGACTCTAAGACTCGACTCGGTAGGATGTCACAGTATCGTTTATAATTTATTTAAACATAATCTAAAATGTCCAATTGCCTCTACTTCAACCGGATCGCCATTTCCTACATAGACGTATCTTTCACCGTCAGTTGGCTTTCTGTAGTTGAGGCAGCCCTACAACGAAACACCTATATGAGCGGTAGCACCAGAATCCATCCAATAAGTGTTTTTAGGAGCTAGGAAGCTGAAGTTAAATTAGCTTCACAAACAGAACTTAAAACACAAGGTACTTACCCCTCTTTGCAAGCCAATTAGCAAATTTAGGACAGTCCTTTCTCAAGTGATCCGTCTTTCCACAAAAGAAGCATTTTGGCACATAAGGCTTCTTTTGTACTGGATCTACAGCAGTAGCAACAGCAGGTTTCTCAATAGCCTTTTCAACAGTCTTTGCAGAAGGCCTCTTTCTTTTCTTGTTCTTGCCCTTCTCAGCTGAAGAAACAAAATGAGCACTCTCTCTTTTGTTAGAATTCATCTTTTCCTCCTCATCTCCTCCTCATCAACACAATGAGAAATGAGCTCGTTAAGAGTCCATTTATTCGGCTGACAATTATAGGAAGTCCTAATTTGTCCATACTGAGAAGGAAGAGAATTCATAACCAAATGGACTAAAAGGTCATCTGGTAAAGCCATACCCAGCACCTTCAGTCTCTTTGCAATCTGAGACATGCTAAGAATATGCTCCCGAGCACCACCATTGCCAGCAAACTTCATGGAGGTTAATTTTCCTAAAAGTGTTCTCACTTCGGCTTTGTCATTCTTGACATAAGCCCTCTCCAGCTCGGCAAGATAGTTTTGAGCATTGTTCTTTTCAGCTGAGACAGAGTCTCGAACATAAAGACCATCAAGGTAAACTGAAAGTATCGCGATATGTGTGCTTATATGTGCTATATGTGTTTACATGCTTATTTCTATATATGAGTGTTCCTTTTTATGTTGAGATATCCACTGAGCTAGAGGAGCAGGTTCGTCCATCCTGAATGCAAGATCCAAATCCATACAGCCCAGAAAGATCATAATGTCTGATTTCCAAGACTCAAAATTTGATCCCTTAAGTTTAGGGACACAATCAGGATTAAATGACATGTTAGCTGACATCAGAGAAAATAAACAAATAGATAAGTATAAGCTCACAATTCACAAATGAAACAATTCACATAAGTAGAGATAAAAATGGAAATAAGATACAGACTCAACATTAATATTCTCATCTTTGGATGTAAAATATTCACTTGTAATTAGTATCTCAACGCAGCAATCAAATATTGATAACATAGTCCTGACAAATAATAAATCTTCCTTTGGACCGATATATCATTGTCATGGAAAATAATCAAACAATTATCACATACTTATTGCAAAATAATCAACAATTATCACATACTTATTGCCAAACATGTGTTTAAAACTCAGCCAAATAGCAACCTTCCTTTAGGCCGATTAACTATCCGCAACGAATTCTAGTACACCTGTCTAATACTCTAAAATAAATCAATTCAAGGAATAGAGGTCACTTTGGTGACTTATTGATCAAATCAATTTATTTTGATCAATACCTAACCCTTAATGATGCCCTAGTGTACTGCTACACCAAACAGATACTGAAAGGTTTGAAGTATCTACATGAACGAAATTTCATCCACGGAAACATGAAATGTGCAAACATTCTGTTGACAAACAATGGAGGCCTGAAAATTGCAGATTTTGGATTGACAAATTTACAGAACCTCCTCAAGGCAGGCAGAGGGATTCCGGCCTGGTCCGCTCCTGAGTTCATTGATACGAAAAGACAAGGAGAATATGGACTAACTAAAGCTGATATATGGAGCCTTGGCTGCACTGTCTTGGAGATGTTAACCGAAAAACTTCCATACTCCGGTTTAGAAACTTGGTCGATATGGTATCGGATCGGACAAGGTATTCCACCTTCTATTTCCGATTCTCTCTCTGATAATTCTCGGAACTTTATCCAGAAATGCCTACAAGTTAATCTAAAGGAACGTCCAACTGCTTCCCAGCTTTTAGAGCATCCCTAATATGAAAAAACAGAAAATTAAGGACCTAATCTAAAATTTTCCAGGGACATAACCGTTATTTTCCATCCCTAACCCTAAAAAACAAAAAACGATTAGAGAGGAAAATAACAGGTCCGCCGCCGCCGACCTTTTTTTTTTTTTAATAAAATCCGGCTAGAAAAAAAAAAAAAAGAAAAAAACAAAATACCAAACGAACAAGTAATCGTCAATGGCGTTAGTTCAAAACCTCTTACCTGTTCTTGGGGAATCCGAAGAACAGTGAGAAAAAAAAAATTTTTTTTATTATTAAACAAAACCCTCAATCAGTAAACAGTAGGGTAAACAAATAATAATAAAATAATAATAAAAAAGCATACCGAAAATTCAATCTAAGAATCTAGGCAATTATGCATAAGGCTCTGGATACCACTTGTAAGAATTAATCTCAAATGAATTCACAATTAACCTAGGATCGTGCTCAAACCACAGATTGCCAGCAAAATAGATTTGAATAAGAAAAAGTTGCGTATCCTGACTCCGGTGTGTTCGTCCGATCTTGATGTGTAGAATTAGGTTTGCAGCCTTCTAGAGATTCGAAGAATCTTAGCGGATAGGCAATAGCGAAACGGACACGTGACAACTGAATGCGTATTTCCACTCCGTTGGGGACCACGACCTTTAATACATGAGCCTGTAGGTTGAGTACAATTCCTATTTCGGGTCGCTTCAAACGAAATAGGAATTAGTATAAATTGGTCTCTCCTACACTTAATACTCTTATTAATTAGTTGAAGTACCGTATAGTCAATTATTCACAATCAAAGACCTAACATGTTGAGATTGACTTTACATATTTGGACTGCTGTACATATTCACAAGACCACATTTGAAATTGACTTTACAATTGGACTGCTGTACATATTTAATTTTACATATTAAGCCCACAATAGAAAATTAAATCCAACATTCTAATCCTGGTTTCACTAGTGGGAGTGGTTTGATTCGAGATTTTATGAAAAGTTGGGTAGATGGTTTTTTCATTAAAAATATTGGCCACTCCTCGATATTGGTTGGTGAATGGTCTTCTATTAGAACTGGTTTGATTATGGCATGAGACCGTGGTTTTAGGAAGGTTGTGGTGGAAAAGGATTGTTTAAACGTTGTTTGGTTAGTTTCTGCGGATTTAAGATCTGCTTATCTTTTAGCGGTTCTTGTTTTGTTATATTAAAAATTTATTGGCTCAGGCTTGGGATTGTTTTCTCCATCATGCTTTTCATCAAGCTAATTATGCGGCTAATCATTTGATTAGATTGAGTCATTTTATTCCATCCTTTTTGTTTATTTGGGATGCTTATCCTGTGTCTTTATCTTTAATCCTTTGTACGGATGTTTGTGGCATCAGTTCCCTGAGATAATTTTTTTTGCTTCTCCCTTTTTTTACTTAAAAAAAATAAAGGTAATATTTTAATTCCAATAAAAATTGTCGAACAGAAATGGAATAAGAGCACAAACTCGATTCAATCTAGTAATTTAAAACTCGAGAAAAAAAAGAAAATACACATTAATAGGGCTACGGAAAGCTTAATTTTTTAATATGGGCTAGGCCCATTATTATTTCAGAACCTCATAGATGAGCCTTACTTTTATAATAAAGAAAAAAGAGGCTCAGGCCCAGTGTATCACGTCAATAAAGTAAGCGGTGGTTGTAACGGCCATTTTAACTACCGCATGGTAACAAAGTCAATTCTTACAAAAGAAAAGTAAAAATATTTGAAAAGCAACCAATAATAAAAAATGACCTGTTCTTTACTTCTTTACGGCCTGGTCATTGGTCACAATTCATAGTCTATTCTATAGTTCGTTTTCCGATACCTAACCTAACGACTAAAGTCTCCCTCCTTGACCTCACTGTTGCTTCCCCGAACCTGCAGCTTATTCCTATCTCCGGCGACTATCATCCTCCCCGGTAAATCTTCTTGTCCGTATAATTTCTGTTGTGAATTTCCGCGGAGAAAGCATCAGATATTGTTATCTTCGAAATTTGGATACTTAACTGCGAAATTTTATTGTAATTATTAAGCTAGGTCATGGTTTTTTTTTGTGTTAATTGGATTTTTTTGAACAGGAATTTATTAGAGGAGATGTGTCATCAGAATTGTTGCGTGCATTTATCTGTAGAAGAAGCAATTGCAGCTGATGAAAGTCTCTTAATTTATTGCAAGCCTGTTGAACTTTATAATATTCTTCATCGCCGTGCTCAATACAATGTAATGTCTGTTCTCCTTTCTTTAAATATGCGTTTATATTGAGTGTTTTTTTTTTTTTTTGGCTAATATATAGTTGATCAGTGATGTTAGTTGAATTGTGGCTTCTTTGCATCGGTTTGTATTTGTATATAGGTTCTGATTTAATTTTTTTGTTTTAGCCTTCGTTTCTTCGAAGATGTTTGCGTTATAAAATGAAGGCTAGGCGTAAAAGGAGGTATGAGCTTCTCGACTTAAATGCCTTTTGCTTTCTAATATCATTTTATTTATGTAAATTGTTTTTGTTTTTACTTCTCATTTAATTTTATTGCCATTTGAGGTCATTAGTGATTACTATGTGGTTGAAAGTAAGGACCAAGGATCAAGCTTAATATGTGCGAGTTAATTGTTTTCCTTTTGTTAAGTATGGATTTGAAAGATTTATTTACCCATCAAATTTAGAGTGTGGGCGCGCGTCGGGTCTGCCACTCCGTTGAAAGCTATGAAACAAGTCCGTGGCAGTTCAAAACTGGAATTGGACTCGACCCAATGCTTTATTTCTGTCCTAGTTGATCCTTATTCGACATTAAAAGTATATTGATTTTTCCCCAATAACCGAATACTTTTGTCTGTAAATACTGCATATTTGATTCCATCCATAAATCTATTTTCTACTGCATATTTGATTCCATCCATAATCATTTTCTTCCCTATGAGTTTCTAAGTCTCAATAAGAATGCTAGTTCTTTACTGTTCATTAATGTTATGATATGAATATACCACATCATCATTAATGTATGGAAGATGAGATCCATTGGATACAGAGCCAATTCCCAACGATATTGGAGGGTCCCATTGGCGTGATCCATAGGAAATTGAACCTACCGAATTCGCCAATTATGAGTTGGGCCGCTTTACATCAGCCATGGATGCTTAGCAGGGATGCCTCGTACATGGTGATAACCAAATTCCTTGAAATAAATCTTTAGGATAAATCAATGCAATTTAGGAGGAAATCATGAAGTAGGAGGAATCAATGAAAGGACATCAATTCAAACCCTAGATTTTCGAATTGAGAGAGATATTGAAAGAGATCAAGAATTCTCACTATTTCTTAGATTCATGGACCCAATTCAATTCAGTGGGATCTTTCATTCACATTTTTATGTGATCTTCATTTCAACTTTCCTTATTCTGTGCTTTTGTTCTTGGCTTTATTGTCTGGTTAATATTTTTGGACTCATGTGCATTTCTAGATTGGCAGCTGGAATTGTAATTTTCAACTATAGGGATTACAACAACAAACTACAAAAGACTGAAGGTAAGTAGTTTGGCATTTTGATGCTTTATGAATGTCAATTTTATATGTTGCAGTTACTATCTTGGCTTCTTAAGTTATCAATACCAAGTAGTATTTTTATAAGTTAAGCTTCATAGTAATGATGTTTAGTATTGCAACAATATATGTTCTTGAATTGAATATATTACTAATGGGACTGGATACTTGACAATTTCATTATTGCCTCTCAAATTGACTCTCTCCCTTTCTCATCATTGGTGGATCTCATAGGTTGTGATATCTATGCTACTAATGCCTGATGCCTCAATGCAAATAATCTGAGACTTAACTTCAGAAGTTAATATTGGTTAGATGTTGGTATTTACTGCTTCAATTTACATTCTATTAAAGGGCAAATGGATGGTGATATTATGGCCTGAGTTGTCTAGACCATTAATGTAAGGTCTGGAAAATCAATGAGATCAGTAATTTGAAACTCAAAATCAGGACTCATGGACAAAGTTCTAGGTGTTTTAAAACTACTGGCCTCTTTTACACATTTCAGGCTTCCTTTCAGCATTTAAATGGATTATCTCTTTTACTTTCAGCCATTTGAATTTCTGTCAGTAAACGGCAGAAAATGATTTTGAACTTGATATCTATTACATGAATGAATTTTTTCATCCAGTATTTGGTTATCGAAAATGTTTTATTTGGCTACTGATCAATGAAGACGTCAATAATAAAATGTTTGCATGTATTTTCTCAACTTGCAGTAACTGAAGACTTCTCCTGTCCATTTTGCTCAATGATGTGTGTGAGCTTTAAGGTGACGTTCTATTTAAGATATGCCCTTATCCTTTTTGTTTTGTTGATGGGCTACCCTATATTACACATTCATACAAAATCCCCAAAAACAAGATATTTTCTAGGAAACAATTTGTATGCTATATAAATTGAATTTTATCGTTTTTTCTTGTGAGACTCTGAAGTTTGCTTAAAGTCCCATGAGAAGCATATAAACCTTGATTTTGTTAAATTTTCGTTCATTTACTTACACAGAAATTGAAACTTTCACTTCTATCTCCAGGGTCTGCGGTACCATTTGTGCTCTTCGCATGATCTATTCAACTTCGAGTTTTGGGTTGGTAATAATAATCAATCACTTTTTTTGCACTGACGGCTTCTGGAAGTATTGATCAAGAAGCATTTATTTTGTAGGTGAGTGAGGAGTGCCAAGCAGTGAATGTCTCTGTGAAAATGGATAGATTCTTATCTGAGGTCAGAATTCATCCTGGATGAATTATGGATGATTTTTTATTTTTAACTTTAAAGTTGGATATTTTTTTAAGATTTTCCATAAAAACTAAACAAATTGAATTAGGTATCTGTTAACCATAATTGTCAAATCAGGAATTGAAATTCTTATTTGTAGAATTGAGAATCGACTTGAATCGTAAGATTTAGTATATAACTTTCCAAAATTAATTAAAAATAAATACATATACATTTATGAATATATTTCCATTAATTTTATCAAAAGATACTAAAAATTTAATTACAAATAACGTGTTTATATAACTTTCAATTTCAAATCGTGTTCAAAACACAATGTGAAATAGAACTTAAGCCAAGTCCAAAATATCAAACTATGAAGTTAAAATTTTAATTTATCAAAAGATACTAAAAATTTAATTACAAATAACGTGTTTATATAACTTTCAATTTCAAATCGTGTTCAAAACACAATGTGAAATAGAACTTAAGCCAAGTCCAAAATATCAAACTATGAAGTTAAAATTTTAAAACAAAAACAAAGTAAAACTATCAAGCCGTTAAATTTCCTATCCAAATCCATATTCATTCATTATCATTTCCAAATTAAGTCCTTTGTCGTTTTTCTCTTCTAATATAACTATATTCTCTTGCTCTTCTTTCTCTAAGTTGACTTTTACACTTGTTTTATTAGGCAAGAGAATCGACTTGAATCATAAGATTTGAATTGCATGAACCATAAGAGTCATGCTCAATTTCGATTCACCCACAAGATTTGAATCGTTTAGTGTGAAAACTGAATTGAACCGTATGATTCAAATCATGGATCGTGAGATTCTAATAATACTACTGGTAACTAATTTGCCCTTGCAAAGAAGAGCTTTTTTACTTCCTAGAGAACCATCAAATTATGGCCCAGTAATAACTCCCTTATCTCTGCAGATGAGAAAAGAGCATGAAGAATTTATCTCCTCAGTATCTCCACCTTTTAAAAGATTCTTTACCTTAATTTTTATTAGATTTGTAACTTTCTTCTGCTACCCTCTTGAAATTGTTTTTTCTTTCCATCTATCTAATATGTTTGGGCCACAGTTATCTAATTCTTCTCACAATCATTTGTCTTCTGTAATGAGAATTGTATAGGGGCCTTTTGGTTGGGAGCAGCACAAGTCAAAATTTCTATAACATTTTTTTTTTCTCGTCAATATGTGCAGACTGTTGCAGATGGAGTAGAGCAAAGACAAGAGACATTCTTCTTCTGGTAGATTTCAGATCTGCACGTACAGTTAATATGTTTTTTCTGTAAAGTTAGTATGAAATGAGAATTCAAAGCTTATATAAACTTTATGTACAGCTCAAGTTCGCGAAGACGCAAATCAAGAAACCGTTGTCTAGAAAAGAAAGTTTGTGTACAGTTCTTGGAGTTGGATTCTCCAAATCTGCACATGGAAGGCACAAGCAATGGATTTTTAAGGAAGGATGATGGTAATTTTATTTTCTGGTTCCCATGTTGTTACTAATATTAATCTTCAAATCTTTCAACCAAGGAATAGGAAACTAGTAAGAGTACAAAGAAACATTAAATTCATTTTCTTGTAAATCCTTCTGTGCCATCTCATTTGTCCCTTTCAGGACCATTCGTTCTTGTCCTCAAATAAAATCTTGGAAGATAAATTGTTGCCCAAGGTTAGGGTTTTTATTTGGTATTTTATTCTCCAAAAGGTTCATATTAATGATTTATTGCATAAAAAAAGCCCAATAAGGCCTTAACTCGTTATTGATGTGTTGTAAGCATGGTGAGACTCACTTTTGTTCTACATTCATTGTAAGGAGGAAGGAACAATTTACAAATTCACCCAGTTAGCATTTTTTTTTTTTAAGGAGCATTGGGTGTGTTCAAAGCCTTTAGGAACTTTTATTGGTCTAAAATAGAGTCTTAGTGGCTGGAAAGATGCCAAAGTTCTTTGGAAATTGTGCCTTTTTTTTGTTGTGTTATGTGAGTCACTGGAGGGAAAGAAATGTGTGCACCTTAAGTAATTAAACGTTGTCCTTGTTTTATTGTTGCACAAGTTTAGTTCATTCTTATGACTTGTTATTTCCTTTTCTTTTAAAATGTGTTGCTCATCTGCTAAAGGTTCGTGGATATAAGTGCCAATCTTTGGTTCTTTTCATTATATGCTTTCTCGAGGGAGATCTGCAATTTGAATTCATATTTTAGATGTTATATCTCGTATTGAGGTTTTAGATATTCTATCTTGTGTAGGAGAGAATGCTTCCAAGTCATCTTCCTGCGAGAAGGATTTACACAACTCCAGAAATGGGGCAGAAAACAATGGTACTGAGTATCCTAGTGCAACGGAGTTGATGGAACGTGTTGCATCAAGTTGTAATATCCAAGATGTCTCAATCCCCAAGGCTCAATCTTCTGTGGAATCTGAGTGCGTTAAATCACAATCTGGAAGTGATCCTCCACTGCCTGCTGGGACCCATATTGCGAAAGCAAGAAAGTTAACTATGGAACGGTCTGACCCTAAAAAGTATGTTCAAAAGTTCCCCAATTATTTCAACAACTAAGCCTTAATCCCAACAATATAATTGTTGATCTATGACTATATATTTGTTTCCATTCATAGGTTCTCCCTGTAAATGATGCTATGTCACCCCATTATCTTTCTTTTTCTTTCTATATTTTTCTACTCTACAGATATTTGTTTTTCCTGCATACCATTCATATTTGAATCACATATAGCTTTTACAAGTAATTTAGCTGCTCGTTGTATGTATTTTTGTAGTAGGAGTATCTTCTCTGTCCTGCGTGAATGTAAAAATTATAGTGAGATTCTGCTTTTCCTGAAGCATTTCGATTGTTGGGATGCTAATTTTTTCGAAATTTTTCTTTTTACAGCCGGGCACTCCTGCAGAAACGACAGTTCTATCACTCCCATAGAGTTCAGGTGATTAATCATTATTGATTCCTGCATATCGTCAGTTCTTGCAGTTATTGATTTGAATATTTAAGACTTTTATGGTGAATGGAAGTCTCATAAATAGGATATATTCTAGTCATAAGAAATATTGAGAGTATCTCGCCCTGATGATTGCTCCTCATTAAGATTGATATATGTGATTCAGATGATATGTGGTCTTTTTTAAAGTTGAATGGTTGCTTAACTTACAATGTCTATGCTTTCCTACTTCCTTTTCTTTCAAGTTGTTTTTTTAAGGCTTAGAAATCTCATTTGAATGGTCTTATGCTAGAGAAATTCCCATTATTGCTTAAAAATGGCAAAATGCAGTTTTTGTTAATATGTATCATAAGAACCAATTGTCTATTTCAAGTGGCTTGCAGAAAGTTTTTGCCATTTACTACTACACATTTTTCCCCTTTGACCATCTAACAATTGACATCCTTTTTTTGTACTTGAAGCCTATGGCATTAGAACAAGTAATGTCAGATCGAGACAGTGAAGATGAAGTTGATGATGACATTGCAGATTTTGAAGATAGAAGGGTATGCTTGATGCCTGTACATATGTATTTTGCTTCAATTATTTGTTGAGATTTTTCATCACAGTAATAGAAATTATTTTTCTGCTTTTTCATATTTTATGAAATTTGTTTAGTAATTATTGGGCGTTGTAGACCTGCTTCAACCTGGGGCTATTTGCCTTACATTTATTTTCTAGTAGTAACGTGGAACAAATAGATTGCTTATGTGTTTGGTGTTCTAACTGCCATGAGCATGTAAGCTAGAATTAGAGTTGTAGAACTAACTTTTCTGCTTTTTCATATTTTACAGAATTTGTTTAGTAATTATTTGGGTTATATAGATCTGCTTCAACAAGAGATTATTTGCCTTGTATTTATTTTCTTATAGTAATGCGGAACAAGTAGATTTCTCATGCTTTTGGTGTTTTAACAGCCATGAGCATGTAAGCTAAGACTGACAGTCTCAGTAATTAAATAATCAAAATTTTAGATATGTGGTGTAACTACTTTATTATGATTTGTGATTAGCACAAACACTGACAACGCCAAAAATGTACTATGCGACTTGTTTAGTTGGATTTGAGTACTTGATTGAATATATGGGAACTAAAAGTGGAAGGCTTGATTATTTCTGAAGATGCATGAAAAACTTTTGGTCTGCCTTTTTGCCCTTTTCTGTCCCATCGAAGTACAGTATACATTTCTAAAGACGGGAATGGTTTCAACCAAATGATTCAGAGTGCATAATATCTAACTACATGTTGCAGATGCTTGATGACTTCGTGGATGTTAGCAAAGACGAGAAGCAACTCATGCATCTTTGGAACTCATTTGTGAGAAAGCAAAGGTAACTAACTCTGAAAGCAAATTTTCTTCCTTTTTAAAGCTGTTCAAGTGCTTGGGTTCTACGATAAAAAAAAAAAAAAAATCATAGCAAAGAAGTTTCACTTTTCAATATGACAGGGTGTTGGCAGATGGTCACATTCCCTGGGCATGTGAGGCATTTTCAAAACTTCATGGATGGCAGCTGGTTGGGTCGCCTGCTCTGTTTTGGTACTGCTTCTGAATAAAATTTTTCCCATGTTTTCTGTTCAAGCTTTTATTCAATTTCTCTTATCAGTTACACAAATTAATTTAATATCTTGCACAGAAATTAGAAAATAGGCTTCTGCAATCAAGGAGTAAATGCATTAAAAAGCAAAAAACAAATAATTCAAAATAAAACAGCTGCTTCTGCAGCATCTGCTATGTTGTCTGTAGAATGACATTGTTCTAAATTATGAATATGCCATGATAGTTTTATGAGTTTCTATCAGCATCACCTTAGATATATTCTTTCATTGATTGAACTCAGGTGCTGGAGGTTATTCATGATCAAGCTTTGGAACCACGGTCTTCTTGATGCATCCACAATGAACAACTGTAATATGATCCTCGAAAGATGTCAAGATGGAGACGGAGGATCTGATCCTGTAAAAACCGAAAGAGGAGACGATTAACTTATGTAGTCTTGAGAAGCACATGCATCACGTTTGAAATGGAGTTGATTATCACTTGTCTTAACCTATTCTTTACTTACCCCAAACCCCACTCCTAACCCTGAGCCATATTTGGAATATTAACATTCTTTCCTGTACAATGGAAGGGAATTTGGGTCTCCCTTCCCATTGTTGTAATCACATTCTAAACAGGGCCCTCCACTCCCAGTCTCCCACGTTCACCGCTAAAATGTTCAAATCAGCTACCTTTATAGGTTTCTCTTTTAAAAAAAAAAAAAAAAAAAAAAAAAAAAAAAAAAAAAAAAAAAAAAAAAAAAACAGCTACCTTTATAGGTTCTTTTAAAAAAAAAAAAAAAAAAAAAAAAAAAAAAAAAAAAAAAAAAAAAAAAACATTTACCTTGAAATATAAAAAAAAAAAAAAAAAAAAAAAAAAAAAAAAAAAAAAAAAAAAAAAAAAACATTTACCTTGAAATAATACATTTCTCATCTGTCTTTGCAATGCACCTCATTTTTATACTTGTTTCAATATTAATTTTTTATTAAATTATTTACTAATTAATTTTTTTTAAAATTATCTTAATTATGCAACATTTTTATTTTTCATTACTTTGCACATCACAATCGCTTAAATTAAAGAAAAATAATAATACAATTATAGATATTAAAATAAACTTATTCAGTACACCAAGGCTTAGTAGTAAGTATATATAAGAAAAAAAATTACTTTTCCCTCTCCCAATATTTAAAAGAAAAAAAAAATTCAAAATCTGATATTATTGGTAGGTCAAGTATCTATAAGAATTGCTTTTTACTGTATGCAAACGCCACTTTGGTAAAAATTCAGGGTTTATCTTGTTCTCCTTGATAAATAAAAATTATAATTTTATTTTAACATTTTAATAGAAATATAGGTGAAATTATTTTAGCGACAAATATTAAACAAAGACTACATAAATTCTCCATTACTTGTTCCACCTAATTATACACACGACGTCGTCCACGTACGTTAATTACCCGAAAAAGTTTGTTCGCTTCACCCGTTCTTTTAAAAAACGTTTTTTCTTTAACAAAATCACATAATTACTGGTTTTCCCGTCACACCTTACTTCTCAGATGAGTTGGGTCCACTCTTCTTGCCGAAACCCGCAACCGCGGTGGCGAAACGGCGGTTGTATTGCATCCTCTTGTGGGCGCGCCACGTGGCTTCTTCTTCTCCTCCTCCTTCTTTGCCACTTTGGGTGTTTGGCCTCTCACCTTACCAGCAACGAGCCAAAGATCCGTGAACCTGACCCATGGCGGCTTCTTGAGTTTTTTAAAAAAATGTATTTTAAAATGAAATAAGGTTAAAAATAAAAAAATATTGAAGACCGTGATACGCCGTCGTACCCATCTAATCTCATGCTAATTATTTCCTTCCCCACTCCCTTTATTTTCTCATAGCCCAAACACCACCTCTTCCGCTGCAATTCTGCTGGACGCTCTCAAATTTACTTTCTAGGTAAGTATTAAAATTTCTCTATTACACGATTGAGGCTTTTGTTTTGGCTGCCGGAACACGAAGGAAAAGTGCTAACGAGGCATTGCTCTTTGTGGCTGCCTCTGGAATGACTTCTCTTTTCCATTTTAATGTGAAAATTTGAAGGCTTTGCATTCAGTATTGAAGTTGGCGCCAAGGATCTGTCCTGGGCTAGAATTATCAAGGAGTATTGAATCATTACTGCTGCTAATCCATCATTTCATTACAAAATTGTTGGACTTTGGTTCTGTTATGCTTGTGGCTATGTGCTTAGAAATGAATATAGCTTCTTTTTATGCTTTTTGTTTTCTGGATAACTAATTGGTTGATATTAGATACATATCAATGGAATTACTTACTAGATCTTTCAATTGAGTTTTGTTTTATATGATTTATTTGCTTATAGCTAGGAGGCCAATAATTATCATTTCTCCCAAAATTCTGCTAGGATGTTAGTTACTATTGTTTTTTATGCTTATACAGAGTTTTCGTAGTGAATTCGTTATTTCTGTTCTATTTTAATTACTTCTCTTTTATTCATTTTGATGTTGCCATTTGGGAAAAAGTAATTTACTAAAATTCGCGGTGGTGGTGTATCAGGTTCAAGAAGTTGAAGATAAAGATTTCAGTTTTTTGGGCTGCCATGCTTTGTCATTTGTTCATTCTGCACTGTATTTTCAGTTTCATTTTATGTATCTCGAGTTTCGGTTATGGGGACATGTCAGTATACTTCAAACGAAATGAAAGAGTAGGAATACTAAGATTTTTTAACTTGGAAGTGTAATCCATTCATGGTGTTACAGGGTTGAGGATAAAGTTTTGACTGTTGGGAAGGAACTGTGGAAGGAAACTCTTCCATTACAAATGGGTTCTCGCATTTACCAATTGCAAGGGCTCAAATCATATACTTGGTACGAAGTGAAGATATCATATCCAGCTTCTGTATGTATGTAATTTTGGATCCCCATAGTTGCCTTTTGCATTGTTTTGATTGTGAAGCTTAATTATCACACATTTGTTAATTAACAGATACCTGCTAGCTTCTCTATAAAACTAAAGAAAGAGGACGCTGATATGGGGATAGATCGGAATAGAAGATTACTTAACACTGAGAAATTGATTTTCAAGACTGACAGTCTCACTAGTAATCAGGTTTCATTGTGCTACTAAATATTTGGATGCATAATGCATTTGATCATGTTATATAGGCAGGTTATAATTTTTATTTTTTCCTCCGCTTAGAATAAATCGTATGTGTTGGTCACTGTGGAGCCTGAGGGGGTTGTTGCAATACCACATGTACCGGAGAGGCAGTTCATCTTATTCAACATAGGTAATTTATTCAAACAATATTCAGGTTATCAAGTTTTGGAATTATAATCTATTATCACTTTCACATTTGTTAAAGCCAACCTGCTCTTAATTGCAAGATAATCGGACTCCATTTTATGATCCTAACATTTCTAAATCTTCATATGCAACACCTGCTGCCAGTTGACTTCTTGCTTGCTAGTTTGAGGCAACAACTGTGTCAAACGAAGTGATCATCCACTGCTTAATCATCTTACTTGAACATTACTTTGTCTGTTCATTTTGAACTTTTTTGGTTTGCATAATGTTCTTGTCCAGCCTACTCAGCACTGACTTCACTGCTGTTGTGTTTGATTTATTCATATGATTGATTGGTGTGGTAAAGCAGGTTCACAATTTAATCTCACTTGGTTAGGGATACTAAGGGCCTGAAATTGAGCTGAATAAGAGTGAAGTTACTGCGTTTACTTTGTTATGAAATCACTAGTTTAGTTTTTTTTTTATTTTTTTTGATAATTTTGTTTACTGTGCTTTAATTGTCCACTTTTCTCTCTTCATTTGTCTTATCTCATGAGAATCAGATTAGCATTTCAGGGTGACATTTTTCTTTCATCCTTTAATTCGACTGTCCATTGTCACGTGAATAAAATGTAATTTTGATTTCATCATTGAAATTTTTTTCCTGCTTTATATTCTAATTATTTTTATTTCCATCACAGTCTGTGATGAGTTGTTATTGGGCATCCCACACAAGGCTTGGTGGGTAGCAATCTTGGTTTTGCTCTGTTTGGGATGGGCACTCATCATTCCTAATTTTCTCCCAACGTATCTGCTTCAAAGAAATGGAAGGCCCAAGATATCAAATCAGAATGTTTCCAAAAAATCTTAATGCGATTGCCTCAGAATCATAGTTTCCATTTTGCTGCTGTGCATTTTGCTTGGTGCTGACTTGCTAGGGTGTTCGGTTCAGAATTTCTTAAAGTTTTATTTAGTCGATAAACATTTCAATAGGTATTAGAATGCATTTTTAGAAACCAGTAGGTGTCAAATGATCTGTAATGGAGTCTGCTTCATTGAGGACCAGCTCATATATGCTTAATTTTACTTCAATACAAGGTATATAAACATAAGCCTATTTTACAGTGCTTTCTTTTACTTGTCAGTAATAGTTTTAGCAAATTCTTTTCCCTTTTTATAGGAACTTATATATACGGCTGCATGTGGGTTAGGTTGGGTTGGATTTGTCGATTTAAAGTGCTCAAACCGTATGTTCGAGGTTTACTCTACCCAACCCATCAACCACGTGAACATGCAGTTATGAGTGAGTTGAATTGGGTATGAGTCCAGCGTAAATTCACGGGTCATGCAGTCATGAGTGAGTTGAGTTGAATATGAATTTTACGTAAATTCACGGGTCAAAATAAATGATAAATAAAAAAATAATTTTAAATAAAAAAATTTAAAATTTAACTATTGAAAAGGAATAACCAACAAAATTATATATATTTATAATATAATTATACAATAATTTTTGTAAACCACAAGATATTACAATTTTAACAGTTTAAAATATTTTTTATAATAATAATAATAATAATAAGCGACGATATTTGAAAATTAAATTTTCTAATAAGAAATATAACCAATAAAATTAAAGAAAAAAAAAACTTAGTAGCATAATTATACAAGAAATTTTCAAACTACAATATGTTTCATTAGCAACATTTCAAAGTAAATTTATGCTAAAGAAAACAATTTTAAAGGCAAAATTATAAACTAAATTGAATTAACTAAAAGAATTCATAATTATACTCGCATACAAATACATATACAATATTTTGATAAGTTTGTGGATTTATTCAGTGAACCCATGATCCAATCCAACCCATAAATTATAACATTGACATATTCAACCCAACTCATTATATTTTCAAATCCACCAATTGAAGTGAAGTGGATTGAGTTGGAACGGGTCATCTGTAGCCCTACTTTTATATAACTCATCTAACAAAACCCTATTATGTGGCTTCAGATGCTATATAAATTGCATCTGAAGTTATACTTATATATGTTCATAGCAAGAAGAAAATATTCAGAAATATGTTAAATCTAGGAGAAAAAATAAAATTGTAAGACCAAACTAAGAGCTTTCAAACATTTTTCTCAACGAATGAGTTCATTTAAATGTAGCAATACTGCCTTAAAGTCTGACAAGACCAGAACAGAACAAACAACAAAATAACAGACATAAATATTGGATAAGCAGAGTATCTTTCCGCTTACCATCCTTTAAAATGCCGGGGGATATCAAAGTTTCCAGCTTATTAAAATATAAAAACGACAGCAAATGAAAAGTTCCGAGTTGAACATCAAATTATAGTAAATTAACCTTCATGCATGAACTAATGTTTAACCAAATTCGCCAAAAACGGTACTTCTAATGGCATATTCTTCTAATCATCAATCCATATCACTGGTCTTACTTTCTCATCCTCTGGAGGTTCAGGAGGATCAAGATTCAAATTCAAAAGGGCCAGCTCTTTGCAGTTCTTATCATTCTTATTGTCCATAGCTGCAGAGGTACTAGCAGCTGCAGAGCAACCAGCAGCTGCAGAGAAACTAGCAGGTGCATCCGGAAAGATCTTTTGCAGCCTGATCGTACCTGGAAACATTAGAGTGTTGAAGTTGACAAGCTTATGCTTCACCACATCATCAATGGGGGTAAACCCATATTTCCCCTGCCACATGGGTGCAAGGTGATCGATGGATGGTATAACCATCTCTTTGAGCCCAATGCAAGAAAAGACCTATAAGTTAAATCAGCATCAGTATATATGTTCGTTTAAGAAATTATTTTCTAGAGAGAAATTCATCTTTACAGTATGAACAAGAAGAACATTTAAGTGGACAACTTACATATCCAAGTGCATCAAATAGCTTTCTTGCCATCCCTTGACCCCTGTAGTTCTCTTGAGTTGCGATGTAAGGCATCTCAGCCAAATCTTTCCCATGCATTCTGCAGAAGCATGAAGTTATACATTCATTTTGCTGCGAAAGCTGAATATGCATAAAGAGGTTCATACACATATAAACATATATGTAGTGTAGAAGATACCTTACAGTTGCAGCTGAAACGATACCATCATTATTCTCCAGCAAAGCAACAAAGAAGCCTCTAAAATTCATTCTTGTCAAATTTGATCTGGAAAGAGACGAATGATTAGTATTTAATTGATCAAATAAGCTTTCTTCCCCTTCTTTTTGTGCCATTTTTTGGATAAACAACTTCTGATCAAGTTCTTGCCATTTTCAGTTAGAAATGACATAAAGGTATTCTGTTAATTCTGTTACAGAGGTTTTAAAGAGAAGATTTGAAAATGCTTACTCTCTATTACAAACCACACTTTGCAAGATGTTTATCCTGCTATGGCGATCTGTAGCAGTGCTGAAACATTCATTCAGAAAATCCCATGCCACCTCAGTCTTACAGTTACTTATTATTCTTGTTTGCTCATCCTCAATTTCAAATGGTTTCATTCGATGTACCAATGTCCATGTTAATCCCTCTTTCATCGCGTGTCTAACTCCAAGCATCCTCTTAAACTTCCAATAAACCTTAAGAAAACTCAAGTTCAGGTCACATTTTCAAGCACAATAGAACAATAAATAGTGAAAAAAGAAATACCTCTTTGCAGATAGGTCCACAACATAAGGCAAGCTCAGTATCGTTAAGATCCACATTCTCTCTATCAACATAACAATCCCAGTGATCTACGACAAACAAGATCACAACCTCCATCAAATGGCTGCAAGAATTTTCTTCTTAAACAACAAAATTTATAAAAGAAAAATGGAAAAAGCAATACTCACATCTCTTGCCACACATAGAACATGTAAGCATATCTCCATTGATGCCACCACAATGTTTGCAGACACAGTAAGTGCATAAAAAATCTTCTTGAGGTATGTTCTGCAATCAAAATTCCAAGAACTTAAAATCAAAAAAGAAATTTTGCATGTATACCCCAAAAAGAAACTGTAATTACCTCCATATTAATGCAGGTTGGGTGGAATGCGGAGGGGCATTTCTCACAGCATATGAGATCACCTCCATCAGCACATAGCAGACAAGCATCATCATTAGCATCAGTTGCGCCAATTTGTGGCACAACTACATTAAATAAATGTCGTTCATCTTCCTTTTTATGCCACATCTCATTAAGGAGGTTTACAAGAGGCTTGCCTGTGCGAAAAACATATGTATTCTTATATGGCCTACTTGAATAGTTTCCTGCATGCATTTCAAAATCCCAGATACTCATAACTACATTGCAACATCTGCACCAAATACCATCTCTTCTTACCATCCCTTCCTTTAGGATCCTTCTGTCAATATATTGAACTCTATCATTTTCCGAGACGCCCCCGTGGTTTATTAACCATGATAATATAGTTTTCTCTGCTATTCTTGTTTGTCTACTAGAAGAACCAAGTGCTACTCTTGTTTGTCTACTAGAAGAACCGAGTGCTATTCTTGTTTGTCTACTAGATGCACCGAGTGCTAGTACTGTTTGTCTACTAGAAGCACCAAGTGTTAGTACTGTTTGTCCACTAGAAGCACCAAGTGCTTGTACTGTTTGTCTATTAGAAGAACCAAGTTCTTGATTTGAAAAAGAACCTGACCTTCTCCTTTTATTTGGTTCCTCTAAACTTCTAATGGATCTTTTCTTTGGAGGGCGACCCCTCGATCTTATTGCAAAAATAGTTCCATTTATGCCTGGAAACTTGAGCTCAGATGGATTTATTTGCAATTTTTGGATTGATTTGCAATAATTCTTGTTTCTTGGACGTCTAGTTCTTGTATAATCAGGATCTGAGACAGAAGAGTCATTGTTATCTTCTTCTTCTTCACTTTCATAGCTGACAATCACGCTCTTTTGCTTTCTTTCCCTTAGATCATAGGCCATTCTTCAAAGTTTGAGATTTTTTTTTTTTTCTTTTTTTTGTATGCAAGAAATTGAATATCTGAAACAGAAGAAATACAATGGAAAATTTGAGTAATTAGCAACAGGATAACAGAAGCTAGTTCCTCAGTAAAGCACAAACAAAGCAAATGTGTAAAACACAAAATCATCACTTTGATTTCATTCCATTTTGATTTTCTATTTGTTTTCTCATCTTCTCGATTTTGTATTTCTATGCTATTTTTTATCTGTTTTTACTTCATTTCTCATTTATTTTCTGAAACTTTTAGATTTAATATGAGGTAGTGAAACATTTTTAAGATAGAAAATTCCACTAGTAATGAAGAACTACCACCTTTATATTCTAAATTAGAAACTGAAAATGAGTCAACAATGTTTAAAAGTTTCTAAATTCTAAGCTAAAAATTGAATAAACAAGCAAAACAATATTTTAGAATTCATTGTATAACACTCTTCAATGCTTATGTTAATAAATTTGAAGCGTTCATCTGTGTAATTAATATGAATATGAAAATCACAGACTAAATTACTGATATACTCACATGATACACATTAAATGTATTTTGAGTTTGTTTACCATCAAACACAACAATGGTGGACAAAAATCACTTACTGTTAATTTTAGAGGTCAGCATTTGGTTAACCAAACGATGTTTATCCAAATATATTTTTATGGAATCCAAATCTGAAATTGAATTACATAATAATCGATCCAAACCAATTTAATCGGTTTAATTCGATTCTTGGTTAGAAATTGAGAATTACTCACCCCTAATTATTATTAACAATTTGGTTATCACATCACAAGAACCTAACATTTTATGTCATTTTTCAATTAACAGTTTAAGTTTTGATTTTGTGATAAAACAAATACTAAACTTATGACTAATAAACCTATGAAAAATGATTTATATAAAGGGATAAAACAAAAATAATTTTTAAAAATTTTTTATTTTTATTGATTCTGTGTATAGATGGACCATAGAGGATTCAGGCAAGTCTAATCCCCAAGTTGATTAGTTTAATCAATTCAAAATTTGAAATTTATTTATAAGAAAAAATGAATTTATTTATGTTTGGGCTTGCTTTTAGCCTCAATTGGCCCACCCATTCATGGGCCATATGGCAGCTGCAGGCTGCAGCTGAAATTGACAGTATAAAAGCAGTTTTGATTTGACTTTTTAAGAACTGCTTGGCCCAATACAGTGGACAAAATGGGCTTTTCCACTTATATTTTATCCGAACTCCCAAGGTCAACTTACCCCTGTTTTAGGCTAAGTTGTATGAATACGGACACAGAACATGAGATAAAATATAAATATGCAAAAATTAAAATTTATTTGGTTGAAAAAAAAATGTTTTTATAATTAGAAAAATTCATATCTAATTAGTATGTTCGATTTTAACTTTTATATGACATTCTTTATTGCCATCTAAAAAAGTAAAAATATAAGACATCATAATCTTTCAAAAATTACTTTTAAATAATATTAAAATAACTTAAAACAATTATTATGAAATTTAATACAAGTATTTTTAATTTAAAGTAAAATTTATGTATTTTTTGTATTTTGAATCAAATTGAGTTAATTGATTTCGTAATTAAATTTTTATAAAATAGTGATGACTCTATTGATTGATCGTCTTTTACTATTGTTGCTAATGAGTTAAAATTAAGAATGACAATTGTAATTGTTTCATTTGATGCTCATTTGAGATTAATTTTAATGAGACGGATAACATATAAAAGGTAGTACTAATGTATTTTTTAAAAAATAAAAACTTGACTTATATTATAAAAATCATCTCGTTTAATTTTTTATTTTTAAAAATTTGAGCATTCATTGTTTATTTTTAATAAATTCCGATCTAAACTCAATTTACCACATAAATTCGACTTATTTTGACATAGATCGGGTGCAAAATTTAAAAAGTCTGCCCTACATCCGATCCATTGTCATCCCTAATTTAAATAAAACAGTTTGATGTAAGAGTGAAAAAAATAAAAATTATATATATATATATATACACACACACAAACTATGAGAAATATACAACATGCATGGGTCTTTTATTCATTCGTGATAAAAAGACAAGACCACAAAATTTCATGGTAAATAAGAAAAAAAAGGAAAATCCATTTGAAAGTAATCAAGTAACTATTTTCAAATTTGGTTTATGGATTTTAGGAAGATCCTTTAGGTTATGAAAACATTGGAGGGTTTTTTTAAAAGAAGTGAAAATATAATTTTCGAAAAAGGTTCAAAAAACTAAAAAATAAAAAATTATAAATTGATGCATGAGGAAATTTGAGGATTTTTTTAATTTTCAATAAAAACAACAAAGGTTTAACTTTTTTTTTTTTGGCAGACTTTGAAGATCGGCGATTTTAACAGTGGTCACAGACATATTCCGTCCATTATTAAAGATCTGAATGATGAATTTCGAGTGAACTACAGAGTAATCAAATATTATTTATATATGTTTATTCATTAAATATAATTAGGATGAAAGATTACCTAAGATTTTCCGAGAACGGTCAATTTAGACTCTCGGTATGTGCTGGATTTCTTCCGATATTATACGCTTATCGTCGGAAGTAAATGATCGGAAAGTTCTTCAAACACCTCGGAATCTTAAAACAAACAAAAAGAAATAAGTAAATTATTTTATGATATTGAAACAAAATTAGTACAATATAGTTTCACTTACACAATTCACACAAAGGGATTTTGCAGAGTCTTAAAGAGCAAAAATCAAATGTCTTATAAATGAAAATTTTAGTAGAAAAGGGGTTCTTCTTGTGACTTGTTTGGTGGACCTTAAATGATTTAATTCCCCGTGCGCAGTGGAAGGGTAAGATACAGGGCAATAAGAGCATCTTCAATGCTAACGTGGATTACTCTAATTTAATTGTCACATCAGAAAAAATAAAAATATATTTTTAAAAATATTCTCCAATGTCTATTTGGTATGCCAAGCTAAGTTATCAAAAAATAAATAAATAGATATTATCTATCAAACCTTCTATTTCTAAAGGGTCTGTTAGACAATGAGAATATTTATTGCTCTATAGTGATTAGTTGCGTATTAAATTAAGAGCCTAGAAAAGAAGAGAAAAAAGAATATGGAAGAGGATTCAAAACTAGTGCATTAGAGAAAGATTTTTTAAAATTGAGCATCTATAAGTAGACGTTCATCGACGTCACTATTTACATCCTCTATTTCACATGACACATTAGCTCATTAGCATTGGAGATGCTCTAAGGTTAAAGTGCAAGAAACCAAAATTGGCTAAGAAATTAATTTCAAATATTATTTTCAAAATCTTCCCCCAAAATATGGAGAAGTTGTATATATTATTATGTTGCTTTTTAAAGAGTTTTATTTCCCAAAAAAAAAAAAAAGTTTTAATCTAAATACGGCTGTAAATGATAATTAAACACAAGGTTTTTATATTTACCGATTAATATTATTAGTGTATTTTCATTTGTATCTATTGTATAAAATTATTCTAAGAGTTAGCTCTATTATAAGTGAAGTGGTTTCCATCTTACTTAATTCATTTAATTCTTAAAATCATAAATATTTTTTTTTTCTCATTTATGAATTTTTAATCTTGATATTAAAAAATATCTCCAATGCTAATGTCTACTTGGTATGTAGAGCTGAGGTGTCAAAAAAAAAAAAAGGACATTGTCTATCACACATTTTATTTCTAGAGGATCTTAAACAATATACATATTTATTGTTGTATAGTGATTGGTTACATATTGAATTATAAGAATATATAAAAAATAAAAATAAAACAGAGGATTGAAGAGGACTCAAAACTAATTTATTGGAGAAATTTTTAAAATTGATAGATATTCACACTTTATATTCTACGTGACACATCAGCCACAATTTAGCATTGGAGATGCTCTAAGGAAACCAAAATGGCTAAGAAATTAATTTCAAATATTACTTCCAAAATCTTCCCCCAAATATGGAAATGTATTATTACGTTGCTTTTTAAAGAGTTTTATTTGCAAAAATAAAAAAAAATAAAAAAAATATGAAGTTTTAATTTAAATATAGTTGTAATTATAATTAAACACAAGTTTTTTATACTTACCCATCAATATTATTAGTGCATTTTTATTTTTATCTATTCTATAAAATTTTTTTAAGAGCTAACTTTATTACAAGTGAAGTGGTTCTGCTTCTTACTTAATTGATTTAATTCTTGAAATCATAAATTATTTTTTTTTTCATTTATGAATTTTTAATCTTGATATAGATTATATATCTTTGATTAAATTGAAAAGATAAATTTAATATGGTATGAATGTCATTACCACATTTATGCTAAATAAATTTTAATTGGTAGGTATTCAATCGAGAGAGTTATTTCATATTATATATTCCATTAACCTTCCATGTATTATAGATATGGATGCTTATAATAATAATTTAGTGCCATTAAAGAATGGTGGACTGCTTAATATAAGAAATCATACCTTATTTGTGCAATTAATTAAATAGCGCAAATAATATTGTGTTTTATTTTATTGCATATATCATTTTTCAAGAAATTATATTTAATGTAAATCAGGTGTACTTTGATAAGATTTTATATTTTTATAAGAATGTTAGAGTGAGAGATTTCAAATTTAAATCAAATTTATCATAATCCCGCATCAACTCATGATAAAAATAATATATAGTGTACTTTGATAAGTAATTTTATATTTTTATAAAGAATTTAGAGTGAGAGATTTCAAATTTAAATCAAATTTATCATAATCCCGGCATCAACTTCATGCATAAAAATAATATATATATATATTAATATATATATATAAGTATTTTTTTGTCAAGTGTATTTTATAATTAAAAACGTAGTTGTCGTAAACTATATTTGAAAAAAGGAATTATTTATAAAAAAATTTTGAAAATTATCATTCTTAATTTAAATTTGCATGAAAAAATATAATTTTTTGTATCATTCAAACATTTGAAAATTTTATTTTCTCAATTCAAAAAAATTCCTTTTTATTGAGATTTGAATTATTGAATAATTTCTCTATACCATTACATAAAATAACTGAAAGATAAAAAAAAAAAAAAAAATCCGTAATCAAAGATTATATATATAATTATATATTTTTAATGATTAAATTGATATGTCACAAGTTAATAAGATATTATTTCAATTTATATATATTGTACTATGAAGGGGAATAAATCAAAAGATAAAAATATTCATATTTGGGTTTAATATTTAAATAGTTTTGTAAAAAAAAAAAAAAAAAATGACGAGGCTCTTGTTTGGCTCTTACCATATATTGTGCTTAAAAGAAATTGGAAAATGGTTAATCAAGTTCATCATAGTTTTGGTTGTCCCTTCCAATTGAATCCAGCATTTAGGTCAAGTTTGATTGGTAACCTAAATTTGCGTTTAATGGTTCTTTTTGTTAAAAAAAAAAAAAAAAATGACGAGGCTCTTGTTTGGCTCTTACCATATATGTGTTAAAAGAAATTGGAAAATGGTTAATCAGTCATCATAGTTTTGGTTGTCCCTTCCAAATGAAATCCAGCATTAGGTCAAGTTGATTTGGTAACCTAAATTTGCGTTTAATGGTTCTTTGTCTCTTTCCGTCTTTCTTCTGCAAGAAAAGTTGTAAATCTGACATTTCAGATTCGTGCTTATCTTCATTTCCAAAAGTCTTCCATACCTTTTACAATTTTTTTTTTAAATAATTTACTTTTTTTTTAGCCTTCCTTATAATCTAATTTGGCCAGCTTATTTGAATTTACTTTTATATTTTTACGGGAAATTTTGTGATCCTTTTAATTTTTATTTTAATTATTAAATATTTTATTTGATTCAGATCAATTCATTATTTTAAATAGTTAAAAATATATAAAAATTATTATTTTAAAAAATTATGGAATAATATTTTTACATATAAAAACTAAAAACCCTAAAAATTATTATTTTAATATAAAAAACGGTGAGATTTTTACAAAATGAAGATTAGAAATGAAATCCAATAATCTTCGTGTTGTTGTTCTCAACATCTCAAAATATAATGGGTGTGGTTTATATCCATTATTTATTTATTTTTCTCTTAAAAAAATCCATTGTTAAATAAATTATCTTTAAAAAAAGTACTTTATTTTTAAAATGGAAATCTTGGACTTTTGATGCAAAAGTGTTTCACATTCAAATGGAAAATCTAGGACTTCAATTCATGTTTATCATGTAAAACTATCTTTCTTTAACACAATGTTTAAAGGAATGGATTTACCTTTAAATTTTATTACTTTAATCTTGTGACGCTCTTGATTTTTTTTTTAGAAAAAACACTCTTGATTTTTACTTTGACTTTTTAAATACTTCAATTTTATTTATTGAACAGTTAAATTTATAAAATTAGATTAATCAAAGACCCATTAAATAGTTGAAATTTATGAAGATTAGTGTTCCCAAAGTTTTTTTTTTAAGAAATCAAACTAATTTCAATAAAAAAACTGTATACAAATATGAAATACAGATCAAAATATTTATATATTTTTATATGAGAAGTCTAATAATAAACCACTTATCTAAAGAATAGAAATACACAATCTTGATTTGAAATATCTGATTGAGTTAACAGAGCATAACATTTGTGTCATAGGCGATCGTTTGCCCATTTAGTGGCTATTCATGATCACTATTCGACTCTATGGTCTTTCTACATGTTCGATATGATTACTTTCAAATTTCTTCATTATATTAGAAAATAGATTTGCACTTCTTTTACATACATAACTTTCCAAATAATAAAATATCATAAACAAAATCATTATAATAGTAACAATAACTCAAAATTAGATACGATAACAAAATTTCAATATATGGACAATAATAAATCTTAATATTTGAGCAATATTAACTCAAATATGTATCAAAAGATATAAATCTGAGGACTATTTGAAAAAAAGAATAAACAAAAAGAGAAAGGAGTGATCAACAGTGAGGGCTCATTGGTAGCCGCTCGTAGAGGTAGAAAATAGAGCTTTTAGGTTTTGGGAGAAAATAGAGCTTTTATGTTAACTATATATCAAATTGATATTTTACAAGTAAAAGCTAAAAATCATAAAAATTCTTATTGTTAATATGGAAACGTGTGTAATATTATCAAAATCTATAAATTTAAGTACATGATAGATGATCCATAAAATTTGAGATGTTATAAGATTAAAATTATAAAGTTCAATGTTGAATTTATATATTTGAAAAAAAAAAAATAGTAAAATAATATATTTAAATTGATTTAGCTCGACTCACCTATTATAAAAGTTAAAAATTGTTTGTGGCGATAATAGTTATAGAGTTAGTTTGGATTGATAAAATTTGAGTTTATAAAATTTAAATATTCCATGTTTTTGCTAGATTTTTTATTTGGTTTAACAAAAATGAGTTGAAACCCATGAAATTAACATAAATTTTTATCATAACTTTAAATTTTTTTTTTTTTACTTTCTAACAAAAAGGTGCGTTTTTTCAATTTTATAATTTTTTACTTATTATAAATTTTAAACCAGTAGAAATATATTTTAGATTTATGGATTTCATCCTCTAATCAAAGTATGGAATGTGAAATTTCATAAATTTTGCAAAATGTATAGATTTCATGTTTAATCAATCACATAAATAACATTCAAGAAACTTATTATCAAAAGGATTTCATGGCTATTCACTCTATTTAATTTTATTCTTATTTTCATGTATGTATTATTTGTTTTGATATAAATGATCATATTTGAGGAAATTTTGGTTGATTTATGGTCAAATTACATTACTAAACTTAAAAATTATATATATATATATATATATATAGGCTCTGTTGGATAAAAACATTTGAGTTAGCTTTTATCATTTTGATCAAGTCAAAACTCTATTTTTATTAATTGTACCATTCAATAATGTAAGTTTTATAATAATTTTTAGAGGCTGAGAGATTTTTTTTGTGAAAACGTTAAATACTATAATATGTAGTGTTTAAATTTTAATTAAAATTTTTTGACAAGCATATCCATTGTGTTTTCCTCCGAAATTAATATTTATTTTTATTATTTTATGTTAAATAACTAATCAAATATCTATTTTTGCTGATCACTTATAATTTAAACCGTAATATAAATAACTACCATCAGATTAACAGCCAATAACTACTAAAACATCTAATATCCGTGGTGACCAACAAGAAACATTACTTCAGTTTTTTTTTTTTTTTAAATCAGAATCAAAATATTAAAACAAAAAAGGTAAGGTTTCATTTTCTATGGGCTTGACTCGAGTAGCTCAGTGTCTGATTGCGGAGAAATGGGCCTAACCCATTTTGTTAGTTAACTATATCACAGATGTCGTCCGGACCGCAACTGAACAATTTATTGGTCTTCTTATTTTTACGAAGGAAACTTTTCGAACGACAGGGAAAAGTCTCCCTCCTGAATATCAAAATTTTCTTTCCTTAATTTCAAAATTTAATTTTTACACCGCGCCACAAGCTGCCGTCAATTTTGCTGCTGAGAATTCTTTTTTCCCTCATTGTTCCACAGAAAAACCTTACATTCTTCCATTCCAAAGAAAGATCTGATGGAAAACACGTCTGGCTCAGAGGTAAATATTTATCCATTCTACAATTCCCAATTTTTCCGTTTCATTTTCTGTTTGATTCCTAAGAAAGTATTATAAACTAAGTCTTTTTTTGCTCAGCAATCAAACATGTTAGTTTGTTCAGTTAATTTGTATCCCAATTTCCCTCTTGTAGATTCCCAATTCACGTCACTCGCTTTCCCTCCCCACTGGTACGTATAAGATCTTGGCATAAGAAGTGTCAATTTATTTCATTTTTAATATTGCTTAAAGCAATTAGAAATGGATATATTAGAATGTCACCCGAAAATGTGAATTTTTGGTTTATTGCAGAGCCTCCTGATATAAGAAATTGGTTTCCTAGCTACAAGTATGAAACTTTTGTACTGGATACTTATGATGCTTTTGGAGGTTCTGCGCTTGAAGAAAGTGAAAACGAGGGAGACGTGTTTGCTCTCTTTGAAGAGAGAAATAGAGAAAAAGCAGGGAATTTGAGTGAATCCACAAGAAACAGTGGAAGCGACAATAAACTTGAAGTTCAGTCTTTAAGTAGGGTATGCAGTTCAGTCTTTAAGTAGGGTATTTTCTCTTCTTGACTCCCCTTTTGTTGTCCACTCCTCACTTAAATGGTGAAAAGTAGCAGGATTGAATCTAGTTTGTATATATAGCTCTGTTATTCTTGATTTCTGTTGCACACACTATTTTAATCCCATTAATTTCTTCCTTTTTGGTGATATATGTACCTAGTATAATACTCATTCCCCCCACTTCTTCCCTTGTTGTCCATTATTTCTCTGCAATTAGGAACATAAATGCAATGCTAGAAGTTTCTCATATCTGACTTTCTCCTTTTCTTTTAGATGGCAGATTCTACTTGTGCGCTGTCGCTCCTTTCTGGTTAGTAACATTCTTTCAAATCCTTTTACGTTTTATAAATTTTGGTTATTTTTGGTTGAACTCATATTTGGATGGCTTTGGAATTGAGAACAGAATCTAATTCTTGCAATAAGATTTTATTTTTTTTTCCTATAGTTTAATTTAGTTTGGTTCACAAGGAATCCTAAGAATCTTTTAACCTTTTCATAATCGAATTGCTTGAATTTATGTTGAAAATATATCCTCTAATTATTATTCTAGATAAAGTAAAAATTCTATTTCATTAGTTGAAAGCTTGGAATGGAATTTTTCAGATTTAGGCATCCATTTCCATTCCCATTTCATTCCAAGGAAAATTAATACGTCCTCATTGGTTTCTCTTCCCGTGTTTCCAGAAACAAAGAAAGATACGAGATAAGTTATTAATAGCCTCTGTTTGTGTTTTGGTTCTTCTGTCAGAGCCTCCTCACATCGGAAATTGGTATTCCAGTTATATGTATGAATCTCCTGTGCTGGAAACTACAGTTGATGATTATAAAGAATCAGCAACTAAAGAAAGTGAAAGTGAGAAAGAAGGATTCGATTATGAGGGAAGTAAAAGAAAAAGAGAAGACAATTTTGATAAGTCTAAGAATTCATTTGAAGATACCGAAGTAGACAAACCTTCAAATGAGGTGCTACTGCTTGATACATTTTTTGTTCTTGCTGTATCCTGCATAATCATTAATGTGTTGGTAGCTATGTTATATTGGGTATATCATGCTACCGATTCCTTTCACTTAATTCTTAATTTTCCAAACATTTTCAATTGTCCCTACTCATTTTTCATATTTGCAGATTACAGATTCTTCACAGTCATCTCCAATTCTTTCTGGTTAGTTGCAATATGAAATTTCTTCGATGATTTTATTGCTTCAATAATCTTTCAACTGAGAAAATCATCTTTCTAGATAGTAACCAAACAAGAATGCAAAAGATACTGTATTTATTCATTAATTGTGCTATGAACTTTTTTTTTGTTTTGTCAGAGGTACCAGACATTAAAAAATGGTTCTTTAGCCATGTGTATGAATCTCCAGAAACCGATGGATTTGTTGACACAGAAACTGAATGTAAGGAAGATGACTCTGTTAATCAACAAAGCAATAAAGAGAAAGAAAGGAATTTGTTGAAACTTGGACAAGCCAAAATTACTGATGAAGTGGCTATTGATGAGAAAGTAACCTCAATTGGATTTTTGAAGTTCAACAGCTCTTTAAGAGTCAATAAGCAGGAAAACCAATCTCTAAGTGAGGTACTTTTCCCTTTTGTATTTGGTCAACTAACTGCAAAAACATTGTTCTTGGAGAAACTTGTAATGGTAATCACTAATCATAAATATTACTGTGAAACAACTGTCATATTCTATTTAATTATGCGATGAAGCTTTTTCTTGCTCAAGGATGTTTTAGATTCTTTCAGGGCAATGTTTATTTCTCAGTAATCTTTAGTCTTTTTTTTTTTTTTTTTTTTTTTTTTTTTTTTTTTTATGCGATTGAAGCTTTTTCTTGCTCAGGATGTTTTAGATTCTTTTCAGGGCAATGTTTATTTCTCAGTTAATCTTTAGTCTTTTTTTTTTTTTTTTTTTTTTTTTTTTTTTTTTTTTTTTTTTTTTTTTTTTTTTTTCACATTTTCAAATGCTAGGGCATTAGAGTTTCAGTCAATGGGAACTTATCCACTCAGGATAACCTGTGCTGTGATAGTAGTCAGAGATTTGCAGAGAACTTGAAAAATAAGGCTCGAACTGAAGAACATATTCTATCACCTGCAAGTAATGTGAGTATTGTTCAAACTCCTGTTGATTTAATAAGAAAATCAAGTCATGGAAGCATTGGCAAAGAGAATGAAGGTAAAGAAGTTCTTGAAAATGGTTTTGTGACAACAAAGAAGAACAGACAGATAAGGAATGATGAGAATTATTTGTACAAGCCAAAAAAGAATGTATCACAATGTGCAAGAAATGAAAGAATAACTTCATCAGGATGTGGAAATGAAGCCGCAGGAAGAAAGGTTTTGACAGAAAGAACTAATTTGGAAAATACTAATGCCATTGAAGTTACTGGGAAATGGAAGTGTCCCCAGAAGACAAAGCCAAATGTTGGACCTCCTTTAAAGCAGCTTCGACTTGAAAGATGGATTCATAGGGTGTAAAAGCTTCAGCTAGAAAAATTTTCCAGGAAAATCCTGTTCAATGTACTGCTAATTTCAACTGAGAGTTTTGCTTAGTACTTAACCTTAGATAGATTTGCCTTGATATACATTTCGGTCTCTTTTGTTTCAATCAAAAGTGGCAATTATAGTCTTTATATTACCATTAATTAACAAAAATTGAGGGATTAATAAAAAGTAACCTGTCTGGTGCTTAAAATTAAAATAAATAGATAAATTAAATTTAACAAAAAGAAAAATAAAGAGATTTGCCTACATCTAGTATATAGGATTTATCCATGCACCAGTTTAATGAGATAATCTTTTTAAAAATTATTATTATTTTATTTTTTTCATTGATAGAAAAACCTTTGAATAAAAAATTAATTTTGGTTAGACTAGTATACGAGTGTGTCGATACGCTGAGTGCAAGTAATTCGTTCTCCAATACTTGAATTATGCAGAACTGCAAGCAGCTTCAGCAAACGACACGAACTTGTGTGTCGTCTTTATGGGCATTTATCCAATTTGATCATCAGACTTCTTTCCACTCTAATTTAACTGCTTCTTTATATTTCATCACCAATTTGATCATCAGACTTCTTTCCACTCTAATTTAACTGCTTCTTTATATTTCATCACCAATTTCCAATTTGATCATCAGACTTCTTTCCACTCTAATTTAACTGCTTCTTTATATTTCATCACCAATTTGATCATCAGACTTCTTTCCACTCTAATTTGAACTGCTTCTTTATATTTCATCCAAAAGAATAATTCAATTGCAGAAACAAAAATGGGAACTTTTACTGCTCTTGCAAGATCTCTGGGTCGCCACTACATAAAAAAATCAAAAAGCCGTAATTTTTCTCACTTGTTCGATTTGGGCAAACTGATAATTTCTTCAGATAGTTCTATTCCTAACTTTGATGGCAGTTTTCAGCAATTCCAAAGCCGTAGAACGCTTATTTTGGATTCTCTCGTTTCTGAATCAGTGAAACTACAGAGATTTTCCGATTCTGATTCCGGTAAGTTCCATTTTGCTCCGTATGTGTATTGTCAACTGTGTATTGTTAAGAAGAAACTCATTTGGGATTTTGATCAACAGGAATTATTGAGGTGAATTTGGATAGGGCAGGAGCAAAAAACGCTATTGGGAAGGAAATGCTTAGAGGGTTACAGTATACTTTTGAAACAATTAGTAAAGATGATTCTGCTAGTGTTGTTATGATTTGTAGCTCTGTTCCAAAAGTGTTCTGCGCAGGAGCTGATTTGAAGGTATTGCTTTTATTTTGATTTTATTGGAAGATTGATTTTTTTTTTTTTTCCAACTGCATCACTTTTCAGGGATTTTCATGGCAGCTTTTGAAGGCTCACTAGAAGGGTAGTAATATTGCACACGCCTTCAGAGTGGGTTTTGGGAGAGAGAACATTAGCATAAAGTTGATTTCTTTAGTATTTACAAAAGGCTAATGTCAGTTATTTTCTCTCATTGTAAAGCAGATTGAACTTTAGCTAAAATGCTTTCAAGAGTACTTCATCTTTTAGAGTATTTAAGGGAGCTGAGTCTATATCTTCCTTTGGTTTGTTGGACTTCTTTTGTTCTCTGATTATTACGTCTGTAAGAGATTTCTTAGTCCGTGTAACTTTTGCTCTGTAGTTTCGCTTGGGTTAGGAAGGATGCGTTTTATTCTTTCTTCATGGTCTGTCTCTTTTGTTATTCCTATTGTTTTCTGATTCACTACCACAATGGCAGTGACTGCCTTAGTTAAGTTGTTATGTGGTCTGAGTCTTGTGCATATCTGAATTTGCTTTGATCTTCAATTTAGATTTATGAGAGTTTGTAAGTGGAGATGCTATCAGTTTTTAATTTTGTACAAAATTCTACTATAATTGTGTGCTGATATTGAGGTCATTACACTAAAAGGTTTGACCACAATTACTAGCTTTTGTGTTGTTGTCAATTGAAAATGTATGCATCAGGCTTTTTGCAGTTTCTTTTTCTACCATTAAGCATTTATGCTGTGCTTTGTAAATCATGATACATCTATAGTTTACTGTCTCTGGGACTGTATTGATCTGCTGTGGCTAATGCATATACTTGACAGCTCTACCTTTGATTTGGTTGGCAGGAGCGTAAGACAATGACTCCATCTGAAGTGCAAGATTTTGTCAACAGGCTGCGATCGACATTCTTATTTATAGAGGTGGCTCTTGCAGTCCTCAAAATACATTAATATATTGTCGAATAGTTTGTTATTTATATGGCTATCGCTTGAACATTTAAATGTATGAGGTTTACATGTATGGTAGAATTGTTGGTTTACCCTTGATAATGTAGTGGATAGAGTATGCAAATATATATCAACTCTATATGTACACAAATGCAATAATTTGGCTTACCAAATATTTGAGGTAGGAATAGGATTTTAAAGCTGCTTCTGTCTGTGCTATCAATATGATTGCATTTTTATTGTTTCGGATGTAGCCAACTCTTCCCAACCTTACCACTTAAAAGGCAACTTGTAGTCAACAATATCACATTTTTATGAAATGCTTTTATATCTTCCATTGTCTTGATTTCTATTTTGTGTTCACTATAGGAACTTTGTATTCCTACCATTGCTGTTATTGAAGGAGCAGCCTTGGGCGGTGGACTTGAAATGGCTTTAGCATGTGATCTTCGAATATGTGGTAGCCCCAGAAATGCATTTAGTAGAAACTATATTGCATTAGTTTAAGTTAGTTGCTTCTTGGGATGCAATTTCACTAAGTATTAATTGTCATGTCCCACTTCTAATGATTCAGGAGAGGATGCAGTGTTGGGCTTGCCAGAAACAGGACTTGCTATAATTCCTGGGTATGTACTAAAACTTATTTTACATTTAAGATTGCTAATTTTCTTCATTTTTATTTGATGGCAATGTATCTGCTTCCACTGTATCTGTGTACACAAGAAACATTTATTTTTCTCTGTTTATTTTTGGAATTCTGTGATATTTCTGCTTACAAATGGCAGACAGAGACTTAAGAATTCAGAATTCATTTTTTTACCATTTACCAGACTCCTTGTGCTTGAAAACTTTGTTTCTTTCTGTGGTAACTTCTTCTGTGCAAGATGACCTGGCCTCTCATGGAATTCTGGTTCTGAACAGGGCTGGTGGGACACAAAGACTTCCTAGACTGGTTGGAAAATCAGTTGCAAAGGAACTTATATTTACAGGTCGGAAGGTTGGTGGCAGAGAGGCGAGCTCAATTGGTATATTTACCAGGGAGTGCAGTTAGTGTGTTTTTACATGTATATGTTCATTGGGAAACACTTGTATATGGGCCGCTCATACACGATGCCAAGTTAGTAAAGATGCATGGGACAAAAAGGGTATCAGTGTCTTTTCACTGGGGAAAAGGCGCAAAAAATAATTAATAAATGGTGACAATTTTTTGGACGGTGTTCATCTATTTGCTTGGTGTATAGGTGGGCCCATATACAATGTATCAGTGAGTTTTAACTGTGTTTATTAACCCATATCTTGAAATGAACGTGTGCAATGCTTCAGGCCTTGTTAATTACTCTGTGCCTGCTGGTGAAGCTCGTACCAAGGCTCTTGAAATTGCTCGGGAAGTTAATCAGAAGGTACAAATTTATAGTCCTTTAGGATTTCTTGGACGTATTCTGTTTTTTAGTCCAAATGGCTATGCAGAAACAGTTTGGTGGCAACCAAATCATTGACATACCATTGAGATCTTTAGGCATTATGATTGGACTTGTTGCTCTTAATTCTTAAATGTATTTGTGGTTCCAAACATATGATTCAAATGTAAATGAAATAATGCTTTGAATGCTGAGGGATTAGTGGCGAGTCAAAGTTTTTTAGATCCTATTCTTTCCAAATTATTAAAACCAGTTCGCTTACTTGTGGCCTATCCTCACCAAAAAAGAGAAAACTGATTTCTTGTGCTTATTCAGAAGTAGGACCTTAAATACAGTTTTTATCAGGTGATAATAAAATGTAGTCTTTTCTGCAACAAGGTTGATAGATACTGTTTTTTCTGGCTCAGCTTGATATTTGGTTCTAAGAGAGCTTTCTTGTAAACCATGACGCTAAATGCAACCTGCAAGTCATATCAGCAAAGACTGAGCAGCATTTTTACACTTAATCTCTTATCCAGATTGGAACTAACGTGTACTCTTGACAGGGTCCACTAGCAATAAAGATGGCAAAAAAAGCCATTAATGAGGGACTGGAGGCAGATTTGGCATCGGCTTTGGAATTGGAAGAAGAGTGTTATGAACAGCTCTTAAACACAAAAGATCGCTTGGAAGGCTTGGCAGCATTTGCTGAAAAGCGGAAACCAAGATATACCGGGGAGTAAATGACCTGAAAATGACGTTCGCAATCAATTTTTCAACGAAGCTTCAGAAAGAGAAACCGAAGTATCTGGGAATAAAGTGATGCTAATAAGCAATTTCAAGCCTGATAACTAATATAAATTGTGCTGTTCTGCAGGTTAGGCATAATTTGTATTACAGTTCATCTTCTATATTGTAATCAAATTATTGCGGTGGTTTAGTGAATGATTGATTTACAAACTTGCAGAAAACATCTTTATGTAGAATTGTTCTTCACTTATAGGCAAAAAACAGATAATCTGATTTTATCCTTTAAAGATATTGCTCCAGAAGGTATATCGATAAATTATAGCTTCCTGGGTTATGCATGCATCTATTGCCAGAAATAAGAAAGATGTGTGTGGCTTCTAGTTAGAGATCAGAATGAGTCCCCATAGAAGTTGGAAGTAGAAGTGGCAGGTATCTAATTAGTTAGAGTTTGAAAATAAAATTTGAGGTTTTTCAAATCAAAATACTATCAATAAATTAATCCCAGATTCTGCAGTCTGATTTTTGCTGCAATTACCTCATTTTCGTAAACTAAAACTTGGTATTTTCCTCTTCAGATGTATTCTTAGTGATCTGAATTGGGATCCAAACTGGGATAGACAAAAAATACATTTTAAACACTAAATATTACTTTGCATGAAAGGAATAGTTGCAATGTGTACAGAACGCCAAAAACACAATATGCAAGAATGGAACTAGGATAGGAAAGAAGAATAAGAAAAATGAAAAAAAGAAGAGTAAGAAAAATAAAACTTGTGTTACAAATTGTTACAGCAAAAGCAAAATCAGAAATAGAAAAGGAAGAAAGCGTAGTTCACATTGGCATCTGCAACTCACAATATGATCCTTTAGCTCAGGTTATGTGCCTCTTCTTCATTGTTCTCTCTTTCATTTTCCTAGACTGCTAAATCCTGCTCTAGGCATAGGCTGATTACTTGAAAGGAACAACTGTCTTCTTGATTGATCGTTTTCACAGCATAAAGACCCTTTTTTACCACTTTGCTATATTCAGACATTCTTTATCATTCTAGTTTTCTCTTAAACAACTGCATGAAGTGATTGCATTTCTTTTTCTTGTACTAAAACATATATTAAAAAACTCTTGTTATCAAATATTGTTTTCGAATATTTATTTATTTGGAAGCTGTAATAAATTTCAGACTTGAAACGAATTGAATTGTCAACCCTTAATTAGACCCATCTAACGATCATGGCGTGTCTAAATTCCATTTTCTTGATTGAGAAATGAGTATTTGCTGTCCATTTTTACAATAGTTTTGCATATTTTGGAAGTAATCTACATTTAGAAATGAATATCTAACATTTGTTATCATAAAATCCAACTGCAAATAGAAATTAAAGTTGACAAATAACTTTTGTTCTTCTATAATAAGAAGTGAATGAAATATTCAGAAAGAAAAATACTTTCACTGAACTTGAACTAAACATTGATCTGAGCATATCAAGTAATTGGGATTACTAACTCTAAACCATTGTTGCTTTTTTATCACCATGTAAAATCAGTTGGCAACTTTAATATCAACAGGTGAGTTTTAATAAAAAAGATATAAAAATCACTTAGATAACAGTAGAGCCATGGTAGTACTAATTAAAATTTCCAAACCATCATATATTGCCTTCTGTAGTTACCATTTATGGTTTATAAGACATCAAATAGAAATATAGCCTAATCTAAGTTGTACTTACTGTTCTTTGAATAAGGTTAGTCTTTTTGCCGAGTGGTTTCATTAATTTTCAGGTTCACAATAGGAATCTTGTAAACACCTTCCAAAAAATGAATATTTTCTGCGAACTAACGCTAAAGGTAGAAATGTTCTAGACTTAGCATTGTAGCTCAGAATTACTATAACCAACTCTTTATTGTGCTGTACTAATTTAATATCTACCTACTAAACTATGTCCTTTCTGCTTATAAATACACAATAAGCTTAATTTAATATCTACTATGCACATTTCTTTAATTTCCATTGTTCTTACAATATTGTGAACTTCAATATGGAGTTGGAGTGGCATTCAGATTCAAGCATGAGTTCAAACTCAAACATTATCAGCAACAATCAGCGGATGAAAGAAAATTACAGCAGCACAAGTACTTGGTCGAAATATAGAGGAGTGATTTGGCTCAAAAGTGGGAAATGGGGTGCACGAATCGCCTTCAGGTACAAGGCTTACTGGCTTGGAACATATGATACAGAAGAAGAAGCAGGAATGGCTTATGATAGGGCATGCATCAAACTTCAAAGAAGCGATGCGCCTCTTAACTTCCCTATGCATATGTACTCAGTGCAAGAGACCAAGTTTCAGAGTCATTACTCAAATGAGGATATTCTTGATATGATCAAGGATAAGAGCTACTTATCCAAATTTGAAAAATATATTGCAGATCAATCTTTGGTAAGCGAATTGGGGGGAATGGCTCAAAGAGGGTTATCTTACAGAATGCTTTTTCGAAAGGAATTGACACAAACTGATGCTACTCATATAAAAGGCTTTCATATTCCTAAAGAGTATGCGATTGAGTACTTTCCTCCACTTTCTGCAGGAGATGAGAATGAGAACAAGTCCATTGAATTGACCTTTTATGATAAGCATTCTTGTCCATGGACTTTTCGGTATTCATACTGGAAAAGTACTCAGACATTTGTGTTTACAAAAGGGTGGAGACATTTCCTGAAGATGAATAACCTGAAGCCAAAAGATTGTGTCTTTTTCTACAGATGTGAGCATCAAAAGGAGAGTCAAGGGAGAGGGTTTTATTACATGATTGATGCACAGCGTGTTAGTGTGGATGGTGATTCTGGGAATGTAGACAAGGCAAGGCAATTGATGAGGAAGAAATTAAACAATGAAGAACTGGTTGAAGACATGGAAGAAGAGAAGACAAGTAATAACAATGGAGTTATGCTTTTTGGTGTTCAGATTGGAAAAACAAGTGAATATAAGCAATTTATTTAATTTGTTATTGTTTTTGCTTTTGTTTCTTTTGAATTTTCCTTTCATCTTTTAATCACCCTTTTCAAGGTTTGAACCTAATTTAGCATGAAGGTTTAGTTTTATGTCTCTCATTACATGATATCTTAAATTTTCTTTTCTTTTCTTTTTCTGTTGCATATAACAAAGGCTGTTATATTCCTGGATTTGATGAATTATTTATGAAATTAAGAGATTGGGATATAATACTGTTTTTAATTTAAATATTGAAACTATAATTGTTCACCTCTTTAACTGGGAGAAGATTTAATTGATTTAACACTTGCGGTAGAAGCGACACATTAAAAATTTTCCTTAGTTTGTTTTCTGGTATATATATATTTTAAAAAATTGTGAAAAAAAATTAAATATAAATGTATTATGTGTTGGAATTTGGAAAAAGCAATCAAGTTCAACTGTGTTCATAACATTGATGCAAAAAATAAAATAATTTATTTTGCTTAATTGCATATTTAAATTCTATCCGAAATAATCTGTGCAATACGTGATTATTAACCAAAAATTGAATTAAACTGATTCATTTGAATAATTTGCAAAGCCATTTTAGAAATCAAGTTATTCCATCACTTTGATTAAAAAATATTATTTGATTTTTAATTTTTATTCGGATATCACATATTATTAACTAAATTTCTTAATACATATAAAGACAAAATAGTTAATGGAATGGATTCTATTCGATTTTATTGTACATATTCAATTCAATTTTAGATTTTGAATACCATAAAATATATTCAGTTAAATCGAAATCAAATTGGTTCGATTGGTTCGGTTAACCGAATGCTGATATAATCCGAAACCTTTTTATAAGAAGGCAAGCATTACATACTCACATAGTCTTATAAATATCAAATACCCATTTCTATCTCTGCGTACGAATCTCTTTGTTGATTTCGCTTTTCTTCGTGAAATTCCAGAGTTGAATAAGGAAAATGGCAACTATAGACGAAAGTGCTTCTGCTAAGCGGTGGCTTCCTCTTGAAGCTAATCCAGATGTTATGAACCAGGTATCCTTTCTTTTTCTATAAATTTATTATCTTTTAATCAATTTCTTCTTGATTGTTTTATCATGCAAATTTTTTGAAGAATAAAATCGAAAATGAAAAAGAAAAATTTGCTGATTGTAATGAGTTCAGTCATTTTGCCTTAGGGATAAGTGGGGAAGAGATTCTCTCTTATTAGAATAACTTTTTGTTTTGGGATTTATTTGGAGGCAAATTTTTTAGTTGACTGTTTCTTTGATATCTTTATTGTGCAGTTTCTTTGGGGCTTAGGTCTTCCCGAGAGTGAAGCTGAGTGCTATGATGTTTATGGCTTAGATGACGAACTCTTGGAAATGGTTCCTAAACCTGTACTTGCTGTTCTTTTTCTCTATCCCATAACCCCACAGGTTTGTTTCATTAAAAATTTTTTCTTTTTCACTTAGGCCATTCTGAACTTAAGGACTTCTTTTTTACTACCTCTTTTATTTGTTTCTCATGATCTTTTTGTGTCTCAACTCTTAAAGTTGTATTTAGTGATAATCAGTGCCAAAACTTTGGGTTGCACCAAGCATGAGCACCTGAAATGTGTTAAAACTACTAAATTCTTTTATATTCTGAAAATATATACTGGGATTTTAAATTTTATTGTTCTATTAAGGAGGGAACTTAATCCTTTTAATCTGGATTGGTAGCATTGAAAATGTACTTGTCTCTTGATTTCACGAATATTTCGATTCTTTTTCAGAGTGAAGCAGAGAGACTGCAGCAAGAAGCTGAGAAAAAGGTGGGAACCATGAGATTTAATCATATACTGAGTGTGAATCTCGACTCTTGTCTCTAGATGTGTCGTGTTTGTTATCCAGAGGCTTTTTCTGCAAATAAACATATCTGTGAGACTGTGAAGTTGTAGTGTGCATCCAGACTGCCGTAAATATTATGGAATCAATAAGAGAATTAATCATTAAGATTTCTGTTATTTGCCAATCCGATTGATGGTGCCCTAAATAGCCCATGAACTTTGCATGGAACACTGGTTCATACACCTTCTGCAGAGTGCAGGTATTTTATATGAAATGTCACTTATAGAATAAAGAATCAAGGCTCATAAGCTTCACTATGTTGCTAGATATTGCTGATACATAGTGATATAGTAACCTCTTGGACTGCTTGAAAGGCCTGTAGATTTTTGTTGATCTCATTTGCTATATGCCATCCTAGTGTGGATATTTGATGTTGGCACCTGCCTCCATGCTATTGGCAAACAATGGTTTTGGTCTAGACTGAAGAGTCTACTTCAGCTTAAGCATCTCAGTTTCTGGTTAATGCTTGCCATACAGTCAGATGAGATTCATATTTAGACCTCTTGTTAATTGTTAAGCTGCTGCTTTTTGGTTTTATAACTTCTTCTTTATGACATCCAGAAATGAGGAGTCTTTCTAGAATCTTTACTTGAGAAAACTTTAGAAGGCTGTCTGTTATTGAGAATTAGCACTTTTTCCCCCCTTACTATGTGGTTTTGATAGTAATGGCTTGAAAATATAATACATACTGCCTGTCCCTTAGTTTTTACTTTATCTTTGACTGTTCTAGTGTGAATATATATGTTTATGGAAGTTTTGTTACATGATTACAAATGTCTGATTCAGTCTTTAACCTTGATTTACTTTCTGTTCGTTTTAATTGGTGTTTGACACTTCATAACGCTGTCCTTTCCACTGTAGCCATTTCTTGAGATTAGTTGAGAGTTTTATGCCTCTTTTTATCTTTTTCTTTTGGGTGGGAGGGAAGAAGGGCAATGGGAGGTGTTGGTGGAGGGAAGAATGGCAGCATCTGAAAGGGAAAGCTTGATGCTTAGAATCTTAAGATAATTATTAAAGAAGATACTCCTTAAAAAAAAAAAAAAAAAAGAAAGAAATATTATGCCTTATTCACTGGATATTTTTTGCTCCCCCCCCAACCCCTTCTATCGGGAAAGATATTTCATTATCTAGAATGCTGTAAGATGCACCATAGTTAAATTTATTTTTCTTTGACAATTTGATTATGATGCTTTCCTGTGTTCTGGCTACAGGAACTTAGCAATAAAGTGTATTTCATGAAACAAACTGTGGGTAATGCTTGCGGAACAATCGGGCTTCTTCATGCTGTTGGCAACATTACTTCAGAGATCAAGCTTCGTAAGTTTTTTTTTTTTTATTCCTGAATCTTGCACTCTCCCCCAGCCCAACCCAAGAAAGAGAAAAAGAAAGATTATAGAGCCAAGAACTTTGACAATTGGATTAATGGCACTACCAGGTTGCCTATGTGCTTGAGTTTAGTTGCATCTGATCATAATATGGTAGATCAAGATATAAGGGGCCGTGCCAAATCGGCAAGATTTACATGAGAATAAGAGCTCTTGCTTTGCTGGATGACTGGACCTATTATGTTAAGCATTTTCATTTCTCAGGCTGGTGAACAATAGAACATGCAACTGACCAAATTGTAGGGATGATAATTAGAATGGTATATTTCCTGTTCTGTTGAAACTTATAGATTGTCATGCAGGAAGAGGTTTAAATATTCTATTGCCCTTGTCCTAAAATTTGCTAGTCAGACCCATATGATGTTGATGTTAATAGCAAAGTTAGCAGCATAAGTCTAGCTTTTGGAATAGCATACATTTTATGGTGAAGAAACATCTTGTAAATGCTAGGAGTTATGAATTGAATTACCTCTTCTATTACTATTAGTTGTGCGACCTTATTTCAAAACCCCAGTTGCATTAACTTTTAACTTACTTTTAGTATTTAACTTGTTATTTTCAGTTGAAGGGTCATTCTTGGATAGGTTTTTCAAGTCGACAGCACAGATGGATCCTCTGGAGGTTACTTTTTTTTTCTTCTTGTCCCAGTCCTGTTTCTCTTTCCTTTATAAACCTCTATATTTACACAGAGTTTGACATTGATGTCAACTTAATATGGTTGCCTTATATCTCTCTTCTTATTGTTTTCCTTTCCTTTTTATTTATTTTGTGCAGCGTGCTGCATTTCTTGAGAATGATAGAGAAATGGAAGTTGCTCATTCTGTAGCAGCTACAGCTGGTGATACAGAGGTAATTGCTTGATGTTCAGTTTTTATTGAATGGTAATGTTCATGTTGTTTCTTCTTGGGACAGAATATGGATATGCTGACCTTAAAGACTAATATTATCTGAAAACAGAAGCACGCTTAATCCTTCCTATCTAATGTTTATAATTATTATCAGGCTCCTTTGAGATCTCCATTTTAGACTATCTGTGATGAGGACATTAAATAATAAAGAGTTGGATATTCACTGAGTTGAAGTGTGTTCCCCCTGGCAAAAGACTTGAGTAGTAAATGTATAATATTTGATGTTGGGGGAAGTTTATTTTAGTTAATGTAGTATACTTATTGGGAAAAGATGCAGTAATCAGAATGGGGTACTCTAACTGCAGAAAAGAAATGGCTGGTACATCCTGGACTGTAAAGGACCATAAAGTTTGTCCACAGATATCGTGCCAAATGACTAAGATAAAATGTCATTGAAAAAGTTATTCAACATGGGTAACCCAAAGCAAACTAAGTTAGCAAATGGGTTCTACTAATAGTTCGGCCTTCAACCACCTTAGTTTGGAGGGTTTGATGAGTTAGCAAAGTGTCAAGTGTCAGGAAGTTTTATCTATTGAGCATTGAGAAGGCTGCATTGGTCTTCAGACTTAATAGTGACAGGCTAAAACAAGTGATTTGGCTAGGATTTAGGAATGAAGGTGTGGGTTTAATCTATATGTTAAGTTGCAGAGGGCACCAGCTTCATCGTGCCTGATGGGAGAGTGACATCTGTAAGTGATATGGATTAGGGATTTGTAAATGTTCTTTTTCCTTCCTCGTGTCAATCAAATGAATAAAATTACTGAAAACTAGCGACACATTTATCTTTATTTTCTTCCGCTAAGATCCTGATTCATTTTTTTTATCAATTTTTCTATGCGCAGGCTTCAGATAATGTTGACACTCATTTTATCTGCTTCACATGTGTGGAAGGTATATACTTTTAGACAGTGATTCACTCTCTGTGTGCATCTCTGAGCATGAAAGACCAATGAGATAAAAAGCAACAATATGCTGTACTTAACCAGAGATGTTTGCAAAATAGAATTACTGTAGTTATGCTTCCATTCATGGTTACTATCTGTGGCTATGTTATATGCAGGGCAACTTTTTGAGCTTGATGGAAGAAAGTCGGGACCAATACTTCCATTCATAGTTAACTATCTGTGGCTATGTTATATGCAGGGCAACATTTTTGAGCTTGATGAAGAAAGTCGGACCAATATCACATGGCCAAACCTTCACCAGGGAGCTTATTGCAGGTGCATATTTTGTAATCTTTCAGCATAGGACTTTTTTCCTCCTTGGTCTTTCTAGTGTTAGCCTATGTGCTGCTCAGAAGGGAAATAAAAGGGAACATTTTTATCAAAGCCCCAACTTGCCATTCATTATTGGTGGCAATAATTTATATCAAGACATTGGATGACATTTTATTAATCTATATCAATCTTACTTGTGTATTTGATGATGTTTTATTAATGACAGGATGCAACCAAAAGTCATAAGGAAAATGATTCAGAAAAATCCTGACTCCCTCAACTTTATGTAATTGCTATTTCAAAGAAATCGAGGTGCTTTTTAAGGTTTAGGCCCATTCCAGATAGTTTTGAAATTGGTTTCACTTTTTGTTTCATTCAAGCCATTCCATCCTTGATGCAGTCAGTTGCAGACTTCAATGGTGCCACTTTTTTGGTCATCAGTTGGTAGACGGGCATAATTCTGTTTTTCACACTTACGTGTGCAACTTAAATCTTACATAAAGGAGGTCTTTTGCTATATGACTTTTGATGAATTTAGCCAAGGGTTGCCTCTGCCATGTTTAAATTCCATATATATATACTATATATATATATTATAGTCCACATGGAAGCTTATATATATATATAGTCCAACATGAATCTTATCCTTACACCATCGGTTTGGGTGAGAAGAAATCATATTATAATTGATTATATATTCAAAAAATTGATATGCTGAATGATTGGTCCCCTTCTCTCTATAGCTTGCTCGAATAAATTTATTTTATTTTCTGTATGATTTGATGCAATTCATATCTTTCGGCAAAGAGGTTGTTCGATGAATTTACAATTTTATCATTTGCAGTGTAGTTATGTTGATTGTCTGCACTTCGTATAATTATTTATCAAGAAGACTCTATATTGAACATTCTTCAATGATTGATACTTATGGCTTGCTTGAAGACTCTACATCTTTCCCCAATCCCCACATGTTACATTCCCCAAAAAGGCCAGATTCAGACAAATTTTCTTGTTCATACAATAATAAAGAATTTTCAGTTTCTGAATGGTGAATGTGTAAGAGTTTTCTTGTTCAGACGATAGCATGGCAAATCCGACTTTTCGTGGTGTTTTCATGCAAATTTGATACTAGGTAGGTACCTTTTCTCTAGGATTGTAAAAGAAAAGAAAGCAGAATTATCTCGATACCCTGCTGGGTATCAAACCCATTTGCAGCTTGATTTTTATCTGCTAAAGAAAAAGGAGAAAACATCAGACACAGGCTTTATTCATATGGTCTTACGAGATTTTATAGCATCTCTACTATATGATTAACGTTGTTAACCTTTACTTTAAAAAAGAAAAAACAAAAGGAAACACTTAACATTCTGCGATAGATCTGAACTTCATGAGAACAGAGAATCAAAATTTTAAAAACTAGAGCTGAAAAGGCGCCGAGGGGGCAAGGGTACTTCAACATATCCTTCTAACATTTGCAGAACCATTTTCATCGAAGGTCTTTTTGAAGGATCTTCTTGAATGCACAATATTGCTATGGCTACCCATCTGTACAGCCTGTCTTTATCAACCACAATCTCCTCATCAGATGCAACAACATCATCTACTCTCCCATCCATAAAAGAATCGCAAACCCAGTCTGTCAGTATTCCTTCTTCAGATTCCCGTTTCGGTACATTCTTTCTGCAGCAAATAATCTCCAACAACATCACACCGTAACTGTAAACATCCACTTTAGCTGTAACAGCTACATTTCTGAACCATTCTGGAGCCACATATCCTCGTGTTCCTCTGATTATCGTCAAAGTTCGACTCTGATTAGACGCTAACAGTTTTGCTAACCCAAAATCAGAAATTCTTGCTGTAAAGCAATCATCCAAGAGTATATTTTCAGGCTTTATGTCGCAATGAATTATCGGAGTTTCACAGTCTTCGTGCAAATACACAAGCCCTTTTGCAACCTCCAAGGCAATTTTCGCCCTTGTATTCCAGCCTGGTTTTGGAACTCCAAGAAGAAAATTTGCTAGTGTACCATTAAAATTTGCTTAGCGCCCTTGTATTCCAGCCTGGTTTTGGAACTCCAAGAAGAAAATTTGCTAGTGTACCATTCGTCATGAACTCATAAACCAAAAGGCGACCAGTTCCCTCTTCACAGAAACCAACTAACCGGACAAGATTCTTGTGACATGTCCTTCCAATTGCTTTCATTTCAGTTCTAAATTCCCTGTCAGCTTCTTGAGTCAACTTATCCAATTTCTTGATTGCAACTACGTTACTTGAACCAAATTTCAGGTTTCCTTTATAGACAATTGCAGAAGAACCTCTACCAAGCTCCTCTTTGAAGTTATCAGTTGCTTCCTCAAGTTCCTGATAACTAAACATAGGCAGATTTGTTTCTAAAAAGGTTGAAACTTGAATTACGCCGTTTGATTTCTTTTTGAATTTCAGGAAAAGAATTAGAGGAACTACGATTAAGAGCAATCCATTAAAGACAACAGAGCTAGCGAGCGAACCAATAAGGATGGAGCACTTACCTTGTTTCTTGTTTGTGCAGATAGGGCCAGGGTAATCCAGAGGAGCACCTTTTCTGATTTTGACAAGAGCTTTGCTCGCTCCCATTTCAACTCTCCCATTACCAAGGGGTAGTCTTTTCTTCCAACAAAGTGTACCATAAATCGCAACAGCACAAGAACAATCTTGCAAGCAAGAAGTTCTGCACTCAGCTTCACTGTAAGGTTCTAGGCGTTCATAATCTCCGAGAGGCCAATTCACATTTGGAAGCTCTTTTATCTCATATAACTCCTCCATTTTCTCTGATTCATCCTCAACTCCACACCCTAAAGGAAAATTCGGTTTGCAGCCGCCAAACAAGTTATTTCCATCCATGAATGAATACCCAGGTGGGCATGTACAATTAGGCCTCCCGTTTATCATACTGCAATAGCTATTATACCCACAAGCACCACTACCGTAGTTATTAAATATAGAAGTGCAAATATCTAGAGGGATGTATTGCGCGATTGACCAACTTCGATCGCCAACAGAGCCTCTAGGATAGACATATTTCGTTAATACTCCATTATAATCAAGAGTAGCGCGATAGTAGTTTCCTGCTACACTAGCCACAGATTCTTGCGTTACCCATTGGAGTTGCGCAGTCAGTCCATCTGCCTTTACTATGAAGATATCTTCGAAAACAAGCTTATTACCAGAATTGGAACCATTTGCAGAAGTTCCACTGCTAAAATAATAAGGGTACCTGGATTTAGTTGGCCAGGCAAGAGGAGCGAGCTTAAGATCACCATTATCGAAGTAAAGCTCAAACCTTCCTCTAGAGAAGTCAGTTTCTGTTAGCCTAGAATACAAGGAAGTTTCTGATTCTAGTATTTGAGAAGGTAAAATTGTGTCTGTAGGATTTTTGAAGCTTTCCCATAAGTTAAAAGAGGAGTAGTTACTAACAAGAACTAAGTTTCCTGTGTTGAGAATAGCAGCATGGGAAACATTTTCAGTCTGGTCAATCTCAGTCTTCCATAATAGTACTCCATTTGGATCAGTAAGTACAAGACCTTTCGCTGTAAGCTCGAGCCTGGATCCTTCTTGCGTTGCATTATCTCCATTTGCAGACCAAATAATAGTTTTCTCAGGAATTTGATCAAACCAGATGGCAAGCAAGAAAAGATTTGTGTTCTTGAGTTTTTGGAAACCGAAAGCAAAGTCTCCAGAAGGTGAAAGCCATGAAGATAAGTTTTTGTAATTTGCAGTTAATGACGAGCTTAAAGTTATGTTCTCCAAGCCAAAAATGGGGTATAGAAGATAGCAGAGGGTTAGAAGGACAAGTTTAGCCCCAGCCATGGAATGGAAGCCAACACTCAAGTTCGTTTTGACAGAGGGTTAACAAATAAAAGGTCGCAAATCTTTCTATAAATTCAAATGAGTTTGCATACCAAATTAATGGAGTTTCCTTCAATTTTCCAAAGAGAAGAATTAAACATCAGCGTGGACTAAAAAACCTGCAGGTCAAACAAACGTTCTTTCTGGGGCAAAATAAATATCTAGTTATATATAATTGTCAAAATAAATAACTAGTTATCCATAATTATCAAAATAAATAAAAAATCCCATGTTTAGATAGAAACCTCAAATTAAAAATCAAATTCTTGCTATGAAGTCAAGTGAGACATCATCTATTGTACAACAAGATATAATTTAGTAGTCAGTGCATATATGACCTCACAGTAGATTCAGATTTGAATCTCGTTCTTCAAACTAAAAAAAAAAAACACCACCTGCTATCAACAATAACAATAAAGGTAGAATGCAATTGATGCTAACATGGGTTTCCTATTGATTTAGTAAAAATTGAAATATTTTATTTGAAAATTGATAAAATATTAGTATTATTTCATTTTTAACTTGAAAGGTAGAATGCAATTAATCTCTGAACTTTAAAGTATTATTGTTAAACAATTCAAAATAGAGTGTAATTGCAATAATTCTCAAAGTTAAAAACAGTATTTCTATCATTCAAATGGATTGGCAGGTCAAAATGAAGTTTCTTTTCAATTTTCCATTTAGTGAACGAGTCAAACACGAGGTTGCAGAGCAAAATAAAGTTTCCTTTCAAAAAGTTAATTTGATGAATGACGGATCTACTTGGGCTTCTTGATCATTTTGATTTTTCTACAGACTGCTCTATATCCCATTCATTTTCTAATTCTACGTTAACGTGGGATTTCTTTCTCTAATGCAAACCGTTTCGAAGAAAAAAAAAAAAACGAAAGACTAATAAAAGATACACGCACAAATCAGTTTAATGATGGTTTTTGAAAATGATAAATCCTACTTGACGACATGCACGTTTAGTTGATAAACTTTCACAAATCAGTAGAAAACGCAACGTCATTTATGCATACTCTCACAATTCAATAGAAAACGTCCCATCGTTTATGCATACTGATCTATTTATCATTTTCACTATTTAAACGAGGGATAGTTGGCTAAAACCATTAGACTTGTCGTTTATCCAAGTTATTTTGGAAAATCTTAAGTGTGCTATTTTGGCTTCACATTCCTATACTTTGTTCACAAAGAGGGAATTTCTTCTAATTTATTTCTTTTTGCTGACAGAATCACAGCACAAGAAGGGCCTTTTTTTTTGGGGGGGGGGGGGGGGCTTTTTTTTGGGGGGGGGGGGGGGGGAGGAGGATATGGGGGGGGGGGGGGGAGGAGGATATGATGATAGCTTCCATACTTATGATGCAACAATGGTCCATGATGAGAAATATTACCGATCCAAGAGCTAATCATCCAGGTACATGTTCTGCATTGTATATGGTATGTCCTCCATAGATTGTATGTCTTCCATTTTCCTTCAAATTTGTTAAATCTGGACCATAGAAGTAATTAATCAAATTCATTAATAATTAATTGGCCGTTATAATAAGTTGGATTTATTATTAACATTTCTAACAGATTTCTATCTTATTGATTTCTAAATTTCAGGAGACGGTCTCCAAATATTTACAAAGCAGATTGCTTTTAATAGTGTTGGTCACCGGATTTGTTCATGACATGTTATTAGTGTTGTGGGGTCTCTCTAATATGTGGGACCCACACAAGTTTGAAGAAAAAAAAAAAAGGTAAAACAAGTTTTTTTTCTTGGCAGTCAAAGAAGGCCACAGAACGAAGAAAGAAAGAAAAAAAGGAAGGAAAAAATGGACGTGTGATTAACGCATTCATTCAGTGGACATGTTAATAACGCGTCCCCTTCTCCTATTTATAGGAGAAGGTTTTTCACTAAACAATGCACAAAACATAAACGAAGAGATCTACACATTTAAGTGTAGAAAATTTTAAGAAATGGTTCCTAAAATTGGGAAAGAGAGAAAATAGTGAGAATTATAGTTTTTGGGGTGTTTTTTTTTTGGGGAAACACTTAGAATACCACTATTTTTGTAATCTCTTTTGTACCTACTATTTTTGAGTGGAAGAATTATTAGGAGTTTTTGTCTCTTGGACGTAGCCCATAACAGTTGAAGGGTGAACCACGTAAATCTCGGTGTCTTTATTTTTATCTGGCATTTACGATAATTATTTAATTTTTACCGTGGTTATTATTTCTGATGGATTCGATCGTCAATATACAATACGTAATTATTAGAGCATTTTTCCACGGGCCCTACTCGGGATAAGTTATAATCCCAACAATTAGAAATTTAGAATTTATATAGCTCAAGTTCACTGACCATGGCTAAAAATTATGCAAGTCTGATACAAAATTGTGACCATAGCCTGTCTTAGGGATGATATTTTTTGCTCTGATATGGTAATGCTGGAAGCATAATTTTCCAACAACCAAGTGTTTAATGAATTTTATTCTATGCTACAGAAATTTAAATTTTGGCTATCATACATTACAGTTGATTGATTACAAAACTTGCTTTGAATTTATGATATTTGTACAAGGGTTGCTTGCTAGGACTTCCTCTTAATTTATTGTCTTTTTGTCAAAAAAAAGATCAGGAATAAATGTCAATTCAGACTCTAATCTTATTTAACGGGATCAAAAAGATCAAATTTATCTTCTTCAGACAATAATTATTTTAAAAAATTAAAAATATCATATTTAAAATTTTAGATCAATTTATCCCTTGAACTTGTTTTAAAATTTTTACAAAGTAATAAATTGATTTAATTCGACGGGATTGAATATTTTCCTTTTTTGTTCTAGAGCATCATCTTGGTAACACACTAAATTTACAAAACATGAAGTATAACTTAATATGTTCAACACAAGAACTACATGGATTTCACATCAATTTTAAAATGTTTAAATTAATTTATATTTTTATAAACTAAAAATTATCAGTTAAGATGAGAATATAATATACTTCATATATAGTTTTCCTTTAATTCATATTTAATTAATTTTTTAAAATAAATTATACAGTCTGATCCGAACTGTAATCTTAAATGTTTATAAATACAATAAAAAATCAACGGCTAAATTAACTCAAAATATTAAATTCGATCTTTTTAATCATTTTGAACAAATTCATGAGTTAAATTAGCTGAAAAGATCAAATCTGATCTTTTTAATCTCGCTTAACAAATTTAATAGCTAAATTGAACTTTAATTCAAAAAGACTTCTTGACATGTTGGATATAATTTTTTCTCAACAGTTTTTATATCAAACAAAAGGTAAGTCTTCCCCTTGACCCCTTCATTATATATGGTTATGGCAGCTATTCAGCTGTTGAAAATGACTGGAGTTGAAGAAAAATGATATATTTATTGCTACATATGAACTGCAAAATTGTCAAATATTATAAGCTCTGATTTTGCAGAAGCATGGATCCCACCTGACAATGTAATAATGTGAGGTAGATGAAGATGACAGTGTGAAACAAAATTATTTAGGGCTTCAAAAATGTTGAAACTTGAAATTAAATTTTGAGAAGCAAAGGAGTAGTTAGTGATCAATGGTTGAACTGTTGTGAACTTTGAAAATCGTTGGAGTTGAAGGAAAGAAAAGTATAGAGTCAAACCTTTGAAAGTCAAAATGGGCTATTGGATTGGATTTGGATAACCCAACTTGCGGCAGTATGGGCTTACTTGTGCACGTGTGCCTCTTGCCTACGAGACCGGCTTCACAGATTTTATGTACGAGTCCGTTCAATCTGACCGAATAGATTTATAATAATTGAAAATTGGATAAAATACTGTGTAAAGCATTTAATAGTGAACTTAATTAGATCAGTTCGGATTTAGTTTGGTTGTTTTGAACCGAAAAATGATATGCCTAAAATAAATGTCAATTTGATTGATTTGCTCTAACTAATATAAGATTCTAAAATTTCAGTTGATTCATAATATATACAGATGAAGCTAATTGTTTTAATTAAAGCAAAGAATTTACAAATGTATTAATTTAACTAATATAAGATTCTAAAATTTCAGTTGATTCATAATATATACAGATGAAGCTAATTGTTTTAATTAAAGCAAAGAATTTACAAATGTATTAATTTCGATTCATATAAACATCTTATCATTAATGGAAATCGGAACCAAAAATTTAATATAATATAAAAAAGTTATTGTATGATGTTATTTGCATTTAGAGAATATTTCTATCCATTCCTTTATTGCCTTATTGCAATTCTTGTCAATGAATTTTGGTAGTACTGAATCCAGAGTGTAGCCAAAAATAAATAAAGCAAAGAAACCATGGAGGAAGTCAATACATTTATATGCTCAGTACACAGGATATGAAAGCTATAGTTCTGAATTATCCATAAGAATCTTCAACTATTCCATTCTTTTTTTATTTTTTCTTTATTTTATATATATTTATATTAAAAAAACAATTTTAGAGTTTAATTAATTATTTATTTATGTGAAACAAAATAATAGATTATGAGTTATAATTAACTAAATATACAAGTAAATAATTTATCAGCATGGGGTACTCTAACTGCAGAAAAGAAATGGCTGGTACATCCTGGACTGTAAAGGACCACAAAGTTTGTCCACAGATATCGTGCCAAATGACTAAGATAAAATGTCATTGAATAAGATATTCAACATGGGTAACCCAAAGCAAATGAGTTCTACTAATAGTTCGTCCTTCAACCACCTTAGTTTGGAGGGTTTTGATGAGTTAGCAAAGTGTCAAGTGTCAGGAAGTTTTATCTATTGAGCATTGAGAAGGCTGCATTGGTCTCCAGACTTAATAGTGACAGGCTAAAACAAGTGATTTGGCTAGGATTTAGGAACGAAGGGGTGGGTTTAATCTATATGTGAAGTTGCAGAGGGCACCAGCTTCATCGTGCCTGATGGGAGAGTGACATCTGTAAGTGATATGAATTAGGAATTTGTAAATGTTCTTTTTCCTTCCTTGTGTCAATCAAATGAATAAAATTACTGAAAACTAGCGACACATTTATCTTTATTTTCTTCCGCTAAGATCCTGATTCATTTTTTTTATCAATTTTTCTATGCGCAGGCTTCAGATAATGTTGACACTCATTTTATCTGCTTCACATGTGTGGAAGGTATATACTTTTAGACAGTGATTCACTCTCTGTGTGCATCTCTGAGCATGAAAGACCAATGAGATAAAAAGCAACAATATGCTGTACTTAACCAGAGATGTTTGCAAAATAGAATTACTGTAGTTATGCTTCCATTCATGGTTACTATCTGTGGCTATGTTATATGCAGGGCAACTTTTTGAGCTTGATGGAAGAAAGTCGGGACCAATAACACATGGCCAAACCTCACCAGGGAGCTTATTACAGGTGCATATTTGTAATCTTCAGCATAGACTTTTTTCCTCCTTGGTCTGTTCTAGTGTAGCCTATGTGCTGCTCAGAAGAAAAAAGGGAACAATTTTTATCAAACCCAACTTGCATTCATTATTGTGGCAATAATTTATATCAAGACATTGGATGCACATATAATCTATATCAATTCTTACTTGTGTATTTGATGATGTTTTATTTAATGACAGGATGCAACCAAAGTCATAAGGAAAATGATTCAGAAAAATCCTGACTCCCTCAACTTTAATGTAATTGCTATTTCAAAGAAAGCCGAGGGTGCTTTTTAAGGTTTAGGCCCATCCAGATAGTTTTGAAATGGTTTCACTTTTAGTTCATCCAGCCATCCATCCTTGATGCAGTCAGTTGAAGACTTCATGTGGCACTTTTTTGGTCATCAGTTGTAGACGGGCATAATTCTGTTTTCACACTACTGTGCAACTTAAATCTTAGCATAAGAGGTCTTGCTATATGACTTTGATATTCTAGCCAAGGGTTGCCTCTGCATGGTTTAAATTCCAATATATATATATATATATATATATCAAGGGTTGCTTTGATATTCTAGCCAAGGGTTGTCTCTGCATGGTTTAAATTCCAACATATATATATATATATATAGTCCAACATGAATCTTATGCTTACACCAATGGTTTGGGTGAGAAGAAATCATATATGATAATTGATTATATATTCAAAAAATTGATATGCTGAATGGTTGGTGCCCTTCTCTCTATAGCTTGCTTGAATAAATTTATTTTATTTTCTGTATGATTTGATGCAATTCATATCTTTCGGCAAAGAGGTTGTTCGATGAAATTACAATTTTATCATTTGCAGTGTAGTTATATTGATTGTCTGCACTTCGTATAATTACTTATAAAGAAGACTCTATATTGAACATTCTTTAATGATTGATACTTATGGCTTGCTTGAAGACTCTACATCTTTCCCCAATCCCCACATGTTATATTCCCCAAAAAGGCCAGATTCAGACAAAATTTTCTTGTTCATACAATAATAAAGAATTTTCAGTTTCTGAATGGTGAATGTGTAAGAGTTTTCTTGTTCAGACAATAGCATGGCAAATCCGACTTTTCAGGGTGTTTTCATGCAAATTTGATACTAGGTAGGTACCTTTTCTCTAGGATTGTAAAAGAAAAGAAAGCAGAATTATCTCGATTACCCTGCTGAGTATCAAACCCATTTGCAGCTTGATTTTTATCTGCTAAAGAAAAAGGAGAAAACATCAGACAAAGGCTTTATTCATATGGTCTTACGAGATTTTATAGCATCTCTACTATTTGATTAACGTTGTTAACCTTTACTTTAAAAAAGAAAAAACAAAAAGAAACACTTAACATTCTGCGATAGAGCTGAACTTCATGAGAACAGAGAATCAAAATTTTAAAAACTAGAGCTGAAGAGGCACCGAGGGGCCAAGGGTACTTCAACATATCCTTCTTGTTAAAGTTACAGCTACAGCTATTGATGCAAGTGTTGTTGACAATTTTTGGAGGTATTTTGTTAAAGTCATTTAGATTTTGTTGTATTGTATTTTGTTTTGAAATCAAGAGGTAAGTGAACTACCTTGCTCTTTAGCGTAGTTGAGTGAACAACCTTTCTTGACTTATGGGGAAGGTTGGTGAACAAACTTTAGAACAGCTCTACTATAAATGATTTACATTTGCAATGTAAATGAATTAACAAGCAATTTAATTGTTTCTTCACCTCACCAAAAATCTGCAGCTTTTTTCTTTTTCCTGCAGATTTCCTTCTCTTCCTTAATGTTTCTGCTCTTCATAAACCAAACAAGTTGGATATCAGAGCAACCTTGATCTCAAAGGGCTGTTGTGTGTGTTTGAGTTGAAAGTCATAGAGAAAGCCAACCAAATAAACCAGATTTGTGAAGTTATTTCTGTTTATTGCTTTTCCCTCAAATGGCTTTCCAGCAGCATGTCTCTTTCACCACCTCATTTTTTAATGTGGGGAAACTATCATGTTTGGGCTGTGAAGATGAGAGCTTATTTTTCAGGGGAGCTCTGGCATTTATGGCAGTATGTGGAGGAAAAAGAGTACCTCCACCTCTTATCAAAAAATAATCCAACCTTCAGCAGATTAGACAACATGAAGAAGAGGTTGGCTAAGGCTCCAAAAAGTCTCTGTCCTTTATTCCATGCCAGCTGTTGCACGATCCTTCATACCAGATTTATGACATGTGAGACAGACATGAAGCTTGGAGGAAGTTAAAAATTGAGTATCATGGATCTGTGAAAAAACTAGGACAGAATGCAGATATTCAATTTAAGAAAAGAATTGAAATGTTGAATGAAGAAATGAAAAGGTGAAAGATTATGATTTATAGAGGTATGAAAATTGCTAAACCAAATTCAATTGTTGGAGAGAGTTTAGAAGAGAAGAGAATTTGTTGGAGAAAAGTTATTGGTGACTCTCCCTGAAAATTTGAAAGCCAAGATTTCTTCTCTTGAAGGAAACTTGGGACATGTCACCAAATATCCTTGAATGTTGCTTTCAATTGCTTCTTACAAGCTGAATAGAACAAAGAAAAGCCTATAGGGAGAAGAAACCATTGGAGAGAAGGCTCTTGTTAGTGACTCGATAAAACAAATGCAGAAGGAGGTTCAAAGGCCAGCACACTGACAGAAAACCAAAAATGAAGAAGAATTTTCAGAAAAAACATTGGAGAAGGACAGATTTCCCACCTTGATCCACATTGCAAAAAACAAATTCACACTTGAGGAACTACTGCTGGTTCGACCCTGGAGCTCAATGTAAGGTTTGTAAGCAATTTTGGTCACACGAGAAAGTTTGTTCTAAAAACCAGGAATCCAACAAACACAAGCCCATCATTGCCACAAGTCACGAAAATTCTGAAAGTATTGGAAGAACAACTATTCTGCAGTAAATTGAAATTGAAAAATGTGGTGTCTCATTGAAGCTAAAGAAGCATGGCTTGTTGATAGTGGCTGCACTAACCACATGACACCAAACTGGTGAATTTCGACGTAGCTTGGATACAAGTATTCTTCAAAAGTTTCAGCTTGGAGATGGTAGGCTTTGTTGATGTCAAAGGCAAAAGGGAGATGTATGTTCCAAACTCCTTCAGGTACAAAGCTTGTTTCCGATGCTCTTTACGTGATTACGGAACTAAATCAAAGCTTGTTTTCGGTTCGGTCAATTGCTGGATAAAAGAAGTTTTACAAGTTTTGCTATTTAAAGATAAAACTTGTGAATAGTGATCCTTCCTGGCTCAAAGTTATTTTGCTTGTCAAAAATGAAAAGTTAGAAGCTTTCCTCTAAATTTAATAGACTTCAAGGAAAGAATCTTGCTTGAGTCATAAGAAGAATCTGATTTGTGGCATAGAGACTTGGTCACGACCAATCTCAATTCATTAAATTGCTACATCCAAAGAAGTTAGTTGCTGATTTGCCATCTATTAGTTGAAGTAAGACAAGAAGTATATGTGAAATATGTCAGTTATGGGCAAACTCAGCCCAAACCCTTTCCATCTTATCAAGCATGGAGAGCTTCTATGAATACTTGAATTAATACACACTGGATGTGTTGTGGCCCTATGAGTGTCTCTCTTACAATGGCTAGCAAGTCATTTTCTAGGTTGTTATTGATGACTACACGCAGATTTTGCTGGTATATTTCCTCCCAATTCAAAATTGAAGTTTTCAAAATGTTTCTTGAAGTTTTAAATCATGGTAGAGAATCAAGCTGGCTCCCCAAATCAGATTTTAAGATCATTTTTGATAATGGGGACATGAATTTACGATCCAATCATTTCAAGCAATATTTGCAAGACGCTGGCATTCACCATCAATTAACAGTAGCTTACACACCTCAACAAAATGGTGTAAGTGAAAGAAAGAATCGATCTGTAGATGAATATGGCGAGATGGCTCTTGTTTGAGAAAATCTACCCAAAGTTCCTTTGGGCTAGAAGCTGGGTAAACATGCCTGTATATCTTCAAAATCGGCTATCTTCAACCAAAGCTATTGATGGACAAACTCCTTTCGGAAAGCTGGGTTTGGAGTTACACCATCGGTTGGTTCATCTCAAAATCTTTGGAAGCATATTGTATATCATTTATTCCAAATGCAAAAGAGGGAAATTGGATCAACGAGCTTGAAAAAGGATTTTTAGTAGGCTACAGCAGTGACATCCAAAGCCTACAGAATTTGGAATCCTGTTACTTAAACAGGTATGTATGTCTCACGCAGGAAGTTGTTCAAATTCCGATGGAGGAAGGTGGAAATGGGATTTGGAAGTAAAATGGACCAGAAAATCTAAATCAATTCTTGATTTTCAGCAAAGAAGCAAGAACTTCCAGTTGACAATGAAGAAGATCAATTGAGATTGATTGATGCAATTTTAGAGAACTAAGATCCTAGAGGAGAAATTTTACAGCAAATGTAATGTTGTCTCACTTGAAACCCACTCAGGTGGATGAAGCCTTAAAATTGCCTTCGAGTGGAGAGCTGCCATGGAGGAGGAGTGAAGATGGATTATGGAAATGAACGAACATGGATTTTAGTTCCTTAGGACCATTGAATAAGCATATAATTGGAACTAAAATGGTGGGTATTCAAATTGAAATTTAAATTTCTGATGGCTTCCATTCAATAAGCACAAGCAAGATGATGTTGTTAAAGGGCTACGCTAACAGCAAGGGGTTGATTTACAGAACCTTTGCACCAGTTGCAGGATTGACACTATCAGATTGATTTTGGCACTAGCAGCAAGTGGAAGGTTGGCAAGTCTTTCAATTGGATGTGAATCAGCTTTCTTAAATGGTTCTTTGAGGAAGAAGTGTATACTTGAAGCAGCCTTGAAGGTTTTTAATGATGGAAGCCAATAAGAGTGTGTTTGTTGAAGAAAGACTCTATGGTTTACAAAACAGGCCCCCAAGGACCTGGTATGCCAAGCTTGATTCATTACTTGCTGAATTTGGTTTTAACGAAGCTTGAATGAGGTAACACTTTTTACGTAACTTCAACAAGGAAGTGATGTGCTTACTCGTTTCCTGTGTATTTGTTGGACGATCTACTTGTCACAGGTTCAAAATTTACAATTAATTCAAGAATTCAGATTAAGATGTAAGCAGGTTTTTGAGATGATGATCATTGGCTTAATTGCGCTATTTCGCTGGGATTGAAATTGCTCAGATTGAGCAATGGATTTTTTATTTTCACAGAAATTTTGCTGGGAGCTGGCTTAAAAGGTATTGAACTTAGCAAATTGCAAAACCAGTGAGTACACCTACAGCCCATGAATAAAATTGCAAAAGGATGATAAGGATGATGGTTCTCACTCTATAGATGCTTCAAATTAAAGGAGAATGGTTGGTTCTTTGCTGTATTTATCTGTAACAAGACCAGATATCATGTTTGCAAAAAATTTACCGTCGAGATTCATGAATTCTCCAACTGAAAACCATCTTACAGCAGCCAAACGAGTTCTG